TCTTTTGTTTTTCGTCGAGCTCATGGTTATACGATTTGCGCGCTTTGGCGATGGCCACAGTCACGGCTCCGCAACAGACTCCCAATCCGAAGCTGGTGCAATTGTCTCGACCGACAAAGAACCCAAGTCTCACGCCCCAGGGGAAAACCACCTTGACCACTCCCATGACCACCCATCCGATACCGGTTCCAATCCCGTCGATGGCGCCCACACAGCTTTATTCGAAGACTACAGCGCCCAACTTACTTCCGTTTTCATTCTCGAGTTCGGCATCATCTTCCACTCTATCTTCATTGGCCTGACTCTCGCCGTCGCCGGCGAAGAATTCAAAACTCTCTACGTGGTCCTGGTGTTCCACCAGACTTTCGAAGGTCTTGGTCTTGGGTCGCGCCTTGCTACCATACCGTGGCCCTCATCGAAACGGCTCACACCATACATCCTAGCCATTTCATTCGGACTTTCCACGCCAATTGCCATCGCCATTGGCTTAGGGGTACGCAACACCTACCCTCCCGAAGGCCGGACCACACTGATCGTCAACGGCGTCTTTGATTCGATCTCCGCGGGTATCCTGATCTATACCTCACTCGTGGAATTGATGGCGCATGAATTCATGTTCAGCACCTCCATGCGGCGAGCACCCATTCGTACCGTACTCGCAGCATTTGGACTCCTATGTTTGGGTGCGGCCTTGATGGCCCTCCTAGGCAAATGGGCTTGAAAGAGATCGTGTCGCCATTTCCGTTTGTTCCTTTTCTTTTTGTTTGGCATATGGGTGGAAAGTATATCTACTTGCATTATTGGGAGTTTACCTGCGTATGATGTACCGAACGCAGATGGGATCAAAATCTTGCTTTTGTTTTTCGACTCTTCATTGCCTCGTTGGCTCTTTGTTGCATTTACTGCGGCCTTGATTTCCATAAAAGAAATATTCTCTGGTAGCTACCGGTTGCATCTTATCAACTTGTAAATAGAAGTACAGTTAGCATCGTTCATAGATGCGCTTCACCTCTATTTCATGGCCTGTAAACATAGTTCATTGTTGTGGATAGCTATTAAAGTACTCTCTGTGGTTACACGGGCATGCATGCAGCTGGCAGTTACACAGCAAAAACGTTCTCTTGCAAACTAATTTATACTCTGTAAATGGAAACAGATTCTAGGATGCGCTGTAGCTAGCCGGTTTCTGGAAGCATGAAAGGATATCTTGGATGCAGCCGGATCGATAGGAGCAACGGCATACGCTAACAGGTGTTGGGTTAAGACAGGAGGGTGCAATGACCTGGTCCTGGCTTCTGCATGAGTAAAAAGCATAACTACTTTGTGGATCAACTTTTTTGAATTTGCAGTGATGCTGCATAGCTACGTCATCATAACGGAGAACAGGAAGACTACCAAGTGGAATTTCTTATATACATAGAGTACAAATGGGCCAAGTACTCCCATGACTTGCAAGTCACATCCCGTTGGCAAAATTATTTGCATGCAAAGCCCGTGGGGCCGATCGACGAAGCTCCATATGCTTGAGTCGAACCAAATATTCAATGGTCATAACGCAAGCTAGGCTGGTATAAGCGCTCCAGCATGATACAACAAAGAGCCATTCACCCATAGAGTATACCCCGTTCCTGCCGTTGCGACGAAGCTTTGGCTATCTCGCCGGCGAGGGAACCCTGTGGATGTACGGTGCTTCTGTCGATGTTTAGAGTATGGCTTAAAGATTGGAGTACATGGTCGGCTTTTGGGTCGGAAGAAACGGCGCAAATCGAGGGCGATAAAAAGCTTGCATCAATTGGAGGCACTGCAACCAGATAGTCCTCGCCCTGGATTTGATTTCATTATAAATAATACCATGTTCGCAGCTAGCCTGAAATGCCGACTACTTTTCTTGCGGTCCTGCCGGCATTTGAAATATCGGAGCGGAGCTTAGCTCTTGCTTTTGTTCGCTAGCGATATGATTCCTTAGGTTGAGCTCGTTGGTGACAGCGGTTTGTATATATTTGTCGTTGACAAACCAGCCTCGCCGTCTGCCAAGCAATATAATAATCGCGAGCCCAAGAATTAACCCGCCAGCTACCCCTGCTATGGCTCCTCCGAGCATCGCTTTCGTCACTTGGCTCCCAGCCGATATTTGCTGGCCGCTACCTACAGTTCGCGTAAAATATATTAGCCTTGGGGAAACCAATCAATTTAGGGTTCTACGGGAGCAATTACCATTTGGACTTCCTCCCGTCGGGCTCGTCGGTCCATTACCACCCGCCGGGTTGCTGCCTTCTTGATTACTCGGAGTGGTACCAGGACATTGGGTGTCATTGGGCAAGCCGTCGCCGCGAACGTTGATTATAGTAAAGTATCCCGAATAAGCTGTCGTTTGCATATCTCGAATAGCGATGGCATAGTCGCAGCCACTAGGCGGAGCGTTTGGGAGTCTATCAGAAACAGATGCTCTGAGGAAGCTATCGTCGCGACTGCGCCATTCATAAGAGCCGTTGTTTGCAGTACGCTCTGGAGTCCGCAAATTAGCAATTTCCTGACATTCTAAACCGAAGGCGCTTGCAGCTAGAATAGCTAAACGCGCCTTTGCCCGGCCGCAAATGGAACGACTCGTCATAGGTCTTCTAGTCTGCACATACGCGTAATGATGTGAACAGTAGTCAGGTTGTGAGGTAATCCCTTCTGGAGCTCGAGCTTCACTTGTTCTGCGTCAGAAGCCTCCCATCGGATTTCAATATCAATGCCTGTGGAGAACCTGTCGCCCTTGTTTGGTGATAGCACACTCAGACCATCTGCACGCTTGAATAACGAAAAGCAGTTGGCGACGGGCGCGCAGAAAGCAAAGATAGCCAAAAGCAGATGGAGAGAATACATTGTGAGATTCTTGGCCTCTGCGACCGGATTATGAGCTTGTCAAGCTTGGTAGATGAGGATATCACTACGCAAAGGCTTCTTTGGTCAGGCTGGGGAGGCTCGTTCTGTTTAGGCGGATCAAACGCCAAGATAAGCGGGCTCGTGCGCTCAGGCATTTTAACTGCCATTTGTTTCATTTCATCAAGCCACTCGTCGTGAGAGAATACGAGATTGGTGGATGTTGAGCCTTGACTTTGGCCTCAGTCTTGGGACGCGGTCCGACCTCTGAAAAGGAGATGCGGTGGGAATGTTATTCCGATTCCGATGGGGGGCGATCACGTGGAGGGGCTGTCGGACTTACCTAATAATCCGGAATGGCGACAAGCCAGCCCATGGGCTCAATCTTCTCGACATCGTTGTCGCCCTGCTTTGTGCGGTTGTCTGATATGGGCTGGATCGGATTTGGGGCCTTTGTTGTGTCTGCCACGTACATCCTGTACAAGCACCCTCCATACTCTTGGGATTTCGGACCATGGCGTTGCGCCCAGCAGCCCGGCGCGGCAGCCCTTGCGCCCAAACCATCAGGCGCCAGAAAGACGCCAGAACATTCATTCCTGCAGGATGAACTGGATCTAGACTCCGTGGCGCAGGACTCTCGGGGAGCTGAAATTGAATCGACGGAAACCACCCCGAAGGTTTCTGCGATCGCGACCCCGCTTAGCCTCAACGTCCCTACATTGAACCTAGATGAAACTTCAACATCAAGTGTTCCCGATGCTCAGCCGGCATCGCTCCAGCCTCCGAAGGTGCTATCACCACCTCTCCTAAACACACCCACCATCGAAACCCGCCCGCAGGCCCTGCCCCCCCCAGCCAAACCCTCCGGCCTCATGCCTCCTCCACCTCGGCCGTCCGCCCGTGTTCCATTGCGCCCTCCACCCTCCGCAGCTTCGTCTCTTCGTGCCCCGCCGTCTCGCACACCAGCAGGCAGCAAGCTGTCTAGCAGCACGCTTTCGCCTCTGGGCCTAGCAGGCAAACCTCAGAAATCTTCGCGACAAGTCACCCTTGAACCCGGCCATTCCCCTTTGGATTGGGCGGCGTTAACTTCAGATCCGCGAAATAATCTTCGCGGCAAGGATCTACCTCCGAGTCTCATTCGGGTGACACCATCCATGTTGAAGTTGCACAACGGAAGGAAGGGGTACGATGCCTGGACATCGTATCAAGGAAAGGTATACAATATCACCCCCTACCTGCCGTTTCATCCCGGTGGAAAAGGAGAGCTTTTGAGGGGTGCTGGAAAGGACTCGGGGAGGCTCTTTCTAGAAGTGCACCCCTGGGTTAACTGGGATGGAATGCTGAGCGAGTGCGTAGTGGGCATTTTGGTCAGTGAACATGATCCTGAAGACCGCACCGGAGCATTGGATGAAATGGATTAATACGCTTCAATTTGACTTTCTATGTAGATAGCGTTGATTGTGATACCCGACGTTTGAGTTGTTTATTAGCTTGTATCAGAGAGATTTTGTTTTGCCGCGCTCGGTACTCTGTAGCTTTTCGTGTTAAATGCCCAAAGAAAAAAAGATTTCGGACCCAAAGGAGACGAAAAGAGACCCTAAAATCAAAAAGTAATTGGAAGCTCCCTAGCTGGGAATCGAACCCAGGGCTGCTGTGTGAAAGACAGCGATGTTAACCACTACACCACTAAGGATTGTTATGTTAGTAATCCATACTTATCATTCAAAAGAGTGCAACTCGATTCATTCCACAGGGCATCTTGAAGAATTGGAAGCCATTGATTTGCTCAAATTAAATGTATTTGGCATAGACAGCCTCCTTTCAAATTTTCAAATGGTCCACGTCTTCAGAAAGATTGCCAGTCGACGTTGAGCTCGGTGATCACGTCTCTGATGGCGATTAGGACACTTTCGGCCGAATCGAACTGGGATAGCCAACATTGTTTGATCATGTGTCCGCATGGAATAGCAGAAACATTAGGAAATTCACATTTTTTGAAAAGTATTTCCACCTGGTCACTAGGTACTTCCTCGTAGGGACTGCTCCCTTTGAAAATTTCGTGAAGGGTCGACCCCAGTGCAAACAGATCCGTAGCCACAGACGGAGGATCTTTCCAGTGTCGTGGGAGATAGAATCGAGCTCCCTCTCCAGAGGCCGGTTTAGACCCATCCAGTGACGAGCCAGAAAAGTCAATGATTTTGATGTCGAGAGTCGCATCTAACAGCAAGTTTCGCGGTTTTATGTCACAATGGAGTATCCCATTTCTATGTAGAAGAGAGACGGCCTCTGCTGTTTGATACGCCCACTTCAATTTTAGATCCATTGAAACAGATGGGTGATCTTGAAGATATGTCTTCAAATCACCGTTTTTCATGTATTCAAGAATGAGACCGTCCCTTGAGTGACCTAAGAGTGGCACAAGCCTCTCATGTGGCCCGAACCGACGATAGATAGTGGCTTCTTTGGCGATGTCCCGGATATGGGACTCAATATCAGGACCGGGAAATGGTGATTTGACAACAGTGCCGTCGTCAAGCAATTCCACAATCCCAGTTAGCCCACCGGATATAAACTGTCCTCGGGCATCTCTGGTAATGACCATTTCGGCATTTTCCTGTCCAGTTCCATTTTCTTTTGTCGTGGTTTGTGTTCCCTGTCACGGGGCGGTCAGGACAGTTATTGCAATGGAAGCAAAGCCTTGATTTAACATACCCTTTCAATGTCATGACGATGACCCACTGTGGTCGCAATCCGGTCCTTAAAACTAGACCACAAGGATACAAATCGGCGCAGTGCCGCGAACCAGAGTCTAAAAGCCATTTGGAGCATCGCAGTGTTAAATGTAGGATCCGGGTACGTTTAACATCCCCCTTTCGTTATGGACCCCTGCGGGATTATATAAGCCAATGTTATATAAGAATCTCTTGGCATTATTATGTAATCCCCCCGAATCCCCTGGGCCACTCCGCCCATAGTGAGCTCAGCAGCCTGAGCTGAATTCTTCAAATCTGCAATAAAAATAAATTAGAAATCCAGATTTTTTTTCTTTCTTGGGTCTAGTGTGTATGTATCAGAGCTAAAATGTAATTAAGGTCGCAGCTGGCAGATTGATATTGCTATGTGGAAGATTGGGCTGTTGTCCCATTTTCTCAGTTACCCCTGAGTGCTTGGCATTCATACAAGACTTTGTCGGACGCTATAAGCCATCATTCGTACCAGGCTCGATACGCCTTTATGGGGTCATGAAAGCATGGGTCGTGGCTCGTCATCTCTTCTCCAGAGTACGCATACGAGATCTCTTTATCTTTTTTTCCCATGCCGGCATCGCCCACTTGACAGTGTACTCAAATGTTAAGAGCTGTTCGGCAGTCGGCCTCTGGGTCGGTTCAAATGACAACATGGCCCGAAAAAGACACTCTAATGCATGAAATTCGCCGCCAGTAACGTCCCATTCACATGTTTCTGGCGTCTCGCCACGACCCATCTCCCAGATGCGCTGCGGAAGGCGCCGGAAAATAGGGTCACTAATGCGCCGGAAGTCAGCGACCCATGAACCATCTGCCTCGAAGAATTCAGACCGCTTAGCCCAAGCATCCCACCATCTCTCAGGTGGTTGTCCAAGGGTATTGATCATTTCTGCGATAATATCGTCTGGGTCCCAAGCAAAAGTTTCGAAAAGTGGACGCTCACCCAGAGCATCATATAAATTAACCCCGAGTGTCCATATATCAGCCGCAGTCGGTTTAGTGATGGGTTCGTTGAAGAATTCCTCCGGAGGGGCGTAAAGGATTGGTGTATGAAGCGTCGGCGAGGGTGTTTGGGATACAATGAACGATGTTCCGTAATCAGATATGACAATCTCTGGTTCTGCAAGTTTGTTTGCAGGCATGTCCCAAGCCATGCAATAAATGGCATGTGACGGTGCGTGGGGCTTGTTAGGTTTCCCGTCTAATCGTCGAATTGGGGCCTCGTACGGCTTTCCAAAACGCTTGTATAATTCATCCGTGCTCAGATTATCAAAATTGGAGACACGCAGGAGCAAGTTATGTAGATGAAGATCTATTTGGCATAAGTATCCATAGCCAAAAATTTCAGGATTCAGCCCCAATTCTACTCACCTCCGTGACATATTCCGTTTGCATGTAAATAAGACACTCCCATAAAACACTGAGCAGCAATCGATCTAGCCGCGTCCCGTGGAAACATGAAATTCGGACTATCTTCTTTAGACTTGGCCATGCTACAACCAGCAGGCTCTCCGACCAAACACCGATGGTGTCCATTGGGACCTTCAAAAGAGAATCGATCTAACAGGCAAGGAATAAATCTCTTCCCGGGGTGGGTCGGGTCGCCTTTTGCTAAAATATAAAGTATATCATCCTCACGACTGTCTCGTGATGCTTCCGCAGTCAGTATCTTCAGGGATACATATCGTTGGTTTCGTCGGTCTCGTGCAAGCCAGATTGTTGAATAGCCGCCAAAGCCAAGCTTGTGGATGATGGTGTAGCGGCCCTCACAAAATGTGTCGCCGATAGTTAAGTGTTGGGTGGAATCCGCCAGGCGTATATCCTTCAAAATCCTCCAGATCTACCCCAGGATTGTATGTATTCCGAGCGGGGATGTGGAGCAAGCCGTTGAAGTGTGGCACCTAGGCAGATATATCGCTGTAGACAATGAAAATCTGTGAAGCCTATGCTGGTTTAGTGTAGTTTGGAAAGAGAGAAATTTCAATCTGTTGAAAGCGAAGTGTCTGTGGCTAGAGATCATGATATCGCATATTGGGGATCAGATGGAAAGGGAAAATCCGAATTGCCTTGCTCAACACTGCTCACCCATGTATCGCTCCTTGCCCTTCAAGTGTCGCTGTCGCTTCGTGGAGCATGGGAGGTCTTGAGGAACACACTTGTAATAGAATATTTTGGCCGAAAGCTCTCGGGGTAAATCGTCCTATAGTTAAGAACCTCTAGCCGCTGCACGGCGATGACAAGGGCACATGTGCTAGTACTAACAACCCCATTCACTCTGTAGTGAGTGTTGAAAGTGAATTGTTGTCATCCCGAGTCTAAGATTTGATTCGTGGCTATTGGTTTATCCCCAGGAATCCCCAGCTGCATCCCCGAGTGCGCTAGTAGCTGCGAAGCTAAATAAAGCAACACGGAAGCTTTGTCCCCATCATGAAGACAGATCAGTCAATTTGGTCCATACAACAAAAGCTCCCAACTCCCTTCTCCGGCACAAGAAGATCAAGATCTTATAAACCTCAGACCCAGCTATCCATCGTGTTCCCGCTACAATGCATCTTCCATCTCTCCTCTCTGTCCTTTCCTTCTCCCTCGCATCGCTTGCCGCCGCCAGCACCGTTGAGGAGCTTCCGAATGGCCTGAAGATTGAAAAAACCCACACTGTTGACTGCGAGCGACGCACGGCCAGAGGCGACAATATCAAGGTCCATTACAAGGGCACACTCGCCGAAAGCGGCAAGAAGTTCGATGCTAGCTATGATCGCGGCACCCCGTTGGGTTTCATGGTGGGAACTGGGATGGTTATCCAGGGGTAGGCCGTCGCGAATACCCATCCTTTCCCCTAATTGAATGCTATAGCCTGCGTACTTGGAACGAAGCGTGCTAACTTCTACGCTACAGTTGGGACCAGGGCCTCCTCGATATGTGCGTTGGGGATAAAAGGAAGTTGACGATTCCTCCGGAGCTTGGGTATGGAAACCGGGACATGGGGCCAATTCCAGCTGGATCGACGCTCATCTTCGAGACTGAACTGATGGAGATTGAGGACAAGAAGGATGAACTTTGAATGCGATTCTGATCTATTGGGATTTTGCGGTGGCTTTGTAAAGATGGCTACAGATGTACAGAGTAACCGAATAAATACAAGGCAGCGAAACTGGTTGATCCTCGACATTGATGATGTCTGGTCGATGAATTCTAGAACGATAATACTCAACATATCGTTTCTATGATACAGGTACCATCCAGTCCTTAGTGGTGTAGTGGTTAACATCGCTGTCTTTCACACAGCAGCCCTGGGTTCGATTCCCAGCTAGGGAGCTTACAATTAATTTTTTTTCCCGAGCCGTGTTTTTTCTTCTCCTTCTTTTTGGCGGCCGGTCGAAACGGTTATCTGAGATCGAAGTGTGAGATGTTGTACAGCACGGAGGCGATTAATAGTAGGCTACTATTACTTCGGGTTCTTTGAAGCATGAGAAGCTCAGAGCTATGGAAAAATAAGCTCTATATTCCAGCTAAGATGGTAGTGCTATGCCTGTAATATCCAATAATACCCTAGACGCCCGTATTATAGATACTTAATTAATCCCATATCTTGTTGAGTTCTTACCTGTAGAACCGCGATGACAACCTTGTCGCCCCATAGCGATATGCGATATGTGCACCTTCCCACCCGTTTTTCTTTTGTTTCGACTCTGGGGAATTTCAGAAATAGCATATAAAACCAGTGTCTAAACAATCGCTCAAAGGAAGGGCAAGCAGGGAATAGCTTCTCCACCTCTTCGAGCCCCGCGTTACGTTTCTCATTCGAGGAAATCCAATATATTTTCGAAGATATACCACACAAAAGCGAGCCAGTCCAAGGGCCGAACTCTACAACTTGCCATGGCGGACAGGTACCAGAGAAATAAGACGAAATCCACGGCCAGGTCGAAATCAAAGTTGAAATACAGATCGAGGTTGAAACCCATGCCTAGTTATTCGTGTTTAGAGGCCCCGCGTTTCTACGGTGTTCGGATCTGGGAAAGGGAGGGTCAACGGTTTCTTAGGCGCTGCTTTGCCTGTTAGTTTCGGGCTGCTGGGGCTTTGGGAGTGGCTTGACCGTGCGTCAGGGGGACTTGGATATATCGACATGTAGTAGGTGCGAAGGGAGTTCTTTCACGTTGCGTAGGTAGAAGCCAAATGCGTATCAGGGGAGAAGCTCGAGATTTGTTTAATTTTGACTATATACCCATCTGGTATAGCATCCATTTGCGTGATAGTATTTTGAAAGTGCCTCCGTCAAGAAGAGGTTCTGACAAACGTCACTGTGACTCAATCCGTGGAAAACCATAACTCCCCGCGTCAGAACCGCCGCCCAAACTTTTAGATAGCCAGGTGTCCATCCATAAATTCTTTTGGAATTACTGTGTCAACCACCGAAGACTGAACACACTTTCTCCACCTCGGGACAGAGCAACCTCCACACTTCCGTCCTCGCTTTGGATGGTTTTAGGAATAAGTTCGCCTTTCCTCTCAAGCACAATCTTTGTGCCGTCGTTCTCGGGTAATTTGTAGAATGCCCTACCGAATCGGCTTAAGAAGTTCTCCAGACGTTCCTGAGTGACATCGCTATCGCTTATAATGCCGGTTTCCATCGCATCTTCAAAAGCTTTCAGAACGTACTGGGTTGCAAAGGATTGAGTGTATACCCCGGCCGCTGGCTTTTCGCCTTGCTTGGAGCTGCTTGGATGTGGGGCACTATCACTTCCACTGCGCAAAGAGGTTAGCTTGAGGGATAACATTTGAATAGGATAGTGAGAACTTGCAAGAAGAATTTCGGGTCACCGCTACAGGCGGCTTGAAGCAAGGCATTTCTGTCCTCGGGAGTCTTTGCAATCGGTTTGCAGAAGGCAAGCGGGTTGACGGTATCATCGATTGTCAAGTAAAGATGGTGAGCGGTGATAGTAGCTGCTCCATTTATTGGTATTTTATTAGGCCCAGGCAGAGGAACGCTTACCTGCGACCGTCGGCCCACAGGAACGAACGGCCTTCACTGCAGCGGCTGTGGAGCAATGTTCTAAAATGATCCTGAGGCCTGGGAATTGCTCATGTATCCTTGTGAGAGTTGGCAGGAAGGCCTCTTCGGCATTCATGACATTGACATCGGGAACCTCTCCATGAATATTGAGCACGAGATCGTGCTTCTCCATGGCTCCAAACACTGGGAAGAAATCATCTAGATTTGCTACTCCTGAAGCAGAATTCGTTGTGACGCCTATTGAATGCCATTAGTCTATTGCTGCACAAGTCAGATCTGGCGCTCTAGCCAAATTGGCATAAGTTCGGGCCCTACCTTGAGGGTACACCTTCACGCCGGTGACACCCGCAGCAGCCGCTTCAGCAATGACCTCAGGAGTGATTGAGGGGTGAAACCTAGAATATGTCAGCTAGATACCAACGAAATGGCATAGGATAGTGGCAACTTATATGAAGATATAGAGACATCAGATAATTGACATTTGGCTCGATAGATTCCAAGCGCTTCTGATACTCCAAAGCCTGGCTTACTGTTGTAATTGGCGGAACCAGATTGGGCTATAGATAATGTGAGCCATGCTCTAGATACAGCGCGAACGAAATCGTCTCTGCATCGCTCACCATGACAAAGACAGTATCGGCACCTCCTTTTCGAATCTGAGGCGTGATCAATTCCATCATGGGCCCATCACGTAGATGGACATGCATATCTGCGGTTGGAGGGAGCTCCAAATGATTGACTTCCCTGAGGCGCATTCTGGACTCAATTGAGGAAGTAGTGGAAAAGGTTTTGGATAACTGGCAGCGCAGCTGTACTGTTCTTGTCCGAGGAACTCCGCTGTACAGGTTTCTACCTACTTTATGCCAGTAAAGGCGAGAAAATGACATTTCAAGTGCGTATAGTTGAGGACAGAAGCAATCTTTGCCTTGATGCGGGCAGCCCACATCGGAAAAAGTTCCCCTCCCGCCGGATAAACCCCAACCCCCCAACGTCCGACTTTGCCAGCGCACACACTCGACAGTCATCGCTCGCAAAAATATCAGAATTGCAAAACATGAGCGACTATTCACTCCTAAGTGATCCAATGCTATGTTGGTCTATCTTGTTTTATTCTTGTATGATGCTACTTGTCCAGAATAACGAGCAGTTCAAATGTTCGTGGGACCCCAGGGCCAGCGCAAATATCCTTGGGCTTAAAATCGAGAGCAGCTATGTTGCAAAGACTTTTCTCTACCAAATCAATACTTCCTTTAGCCTATGGCTAAGGACTTATCAAGATATAACATGGTTGACTTCCCAACGGCTCCCGGTCAAGCAGATTTCATTCCTCATGTCGGTTCCGTTGCATATTCTTGACGTTCTAGTCTCTTTTCCATCTTCAAAGTCACGGCCTTGTTGTTCCAGAAAATCTTCAGGCGAACTCGTGCACTGCCCGACGCTTTGGGATCGTTCTTATTCCGGACTGTTTGCAAAGCGAGCCAATTCGAGCGGCTGCGTTAGCCAGATTGGCAATATTGAAGGGTTGGGGAGGCCTCGTTCGGCGCAGTTTCAACGGCTCAACGGATTCGAAGTTGCAAATGATGCGCCTCAAACGTCCACGTCCTCACCGCTCGATGAAGCAACAAACCGACATCAAGCTGGCGATGGGTGAATGATAACCACATGGCTCAAGCGAGAAAGCTGCTTATGTCATCCGGTGATGCGGTCTAGGCCCAATCTCGACTAGCCTCACTTAGGGTTCCAGCCGGATCACGTGTCTGGGCTCAAACCCCAGCCTCACTTTGTGGCGGTGGACTGGCGAAGGGGCTTCGAATGTTTGCTTTGCTGGAAAAGAAGAAGAAGAAGACGGCTGGCGCATTCGCAGCGGTGACATTGCCTCAGGCTGTTGGGCAAAAAATGACATAACAAATCACGCGTGGTCGCTCAATTGTGGTCGGGCGCCGGGACTCAATGGGCAGCCACCCAATCACCGGGCACCAAATCGGGGAGGCTGGCGCTAGTCCCAATCCAGCCAGAGACGCTCATCCCAGCCTTCCCTCAGGCCTCCCAACCACTCACCTCCTCCATCAACAACCTCACCTCCCGTCGCTCCCCTTCATCGCGCCCTCACTGGACATCATCGCCCTTTGGTGCCTGGTGTCAAGTCACACAGACAGGTCGCTTCGACACCAATGACACCAGAATTCGACCTTCGACCCTTGGAATGTCTTCCAGCCACTGATTTTCTTGTCTTTGCCCATCCCATCAGTCCAATTGACACCCCTTGACCTTCCCATCCAGTCAGAAGGTCCCTGCAGAAACAGCTGCCAAATAACATTCATCATCCCGGTTTTGTCCTTCTTTTTGCCTCCCTTTTTGTCCCTGATCCACCCAGATTGCCCGCACAGACGATTAGGTTTCTTTCTCTTCGGGCAAGACAGCGCTTGATCCCCATGTTCTAGGTGCTGCGCCGTTCTAGAATACTGTTCTGCCTAAGTTCACCGTGTCTTGTTCCTTTCTTTCTGTCCGGCTGATGAAATCATCGTCATAGCCATCCTGCGTCAAAAAGAACGCTTTGCCTATTTAATCTTTCCCTTCTACTTGGTGCCTTGCAACCATCTCTCTCCCGCTTGGCTGCCTGGCTTGATTCTCTCCTACCCCTCCGTTTCTTCTTAGACTTCGGCAACTTGCGAAAAGAACGTCGCAACTCGCTGCTACTTGATCTCTTGTCATCGCTGTTTGGGTGCCTGCTTGCCTGCTCGATTTGGTCTTAGTCAAGGCAGCACTCTGCATTCTGTTTTCTCAGAGGATCAGTCCATCCTTGGTCCTCTACCCGCGTTTCTTTCTTGCTTCTGCTGTCTCGCTTCTCTTTCCGCGCGACATAAAAAGGAAGACATATCCCTTCGTCTTCCTCACCTTCAATCAACCAACTCTCAATCTTGCAAGCTTTCCCGATACTTCTACTGCAATTTTCACTTCCAGCAAACACTTTCAGTGAAAGTCGGATTTGCTCTTATCTTCTTTCCGCATTCCTACAATTTACCAGGTATCTCTGGTATCTCAACGCCCTTTGCAGGTGACGACACCTACAATTTCGTGCTCTTTTTTGTCCGAACCTTCACAAGCCGTCTACATCATGCCCCATTCATATTCCTCAAGTACCTCGCAAGGAAGCACGAAGAGCGGGTTTAGCTCTACGGGGTCTCAGAGCTCACAGGGTACGCTTTACTTTCTTTACCCCCATATCATATAACATTGGCTCTTTTTGAAAGGAAAAACCAGCGGCGCAAACGTCAAGGGGGTCGGGCTTTTTAAGTCCCTTACTAATTCGATCTGCGAACTTGTTTAGGAAATAGCCAGACCTCGAGGCCCAAGACACAAAAACCCCTTATCCACAACAGCGGAGGTAACAGCCCAGACAGCAAGAGGACTTCAGAATGGGACGGCGGCCGATGGAAGTAATTGATCAATTGTCCGACTGCTAGCAACAACAAGCGACCAGAGACTTCCTTCCTTCAGGCTGGTTTAACAATAAGGACGCAACCATCACCCTCCCTATCATCTCGCTTTGCCTAAGCAAACAATCGCAAGATTTGAAAGTGAGGCGGGCACTGTCTATGTTGAACCACATGATATCGTGAGACGAGTACACCCGAGGTACCAAGTTTCGTTGAGGATCGATTTCCACAGCACAACACCCCTGTCTCCTATTCACCACCGACCAATTCTATCGCAAACACCGCGTTTATATCACAACCACGGAAACGCCGATATCAGAACCGGTACACAGATATTTTTCTCTTACCCGTTGTATTAATTTGACTTATACATCTTGGTCGAAACTTGCGAAGCTTTCTTCGCCACTTTCCTTTCTACACAGCAGGAAATCATCGACAACCGGGCGTGGCGGGGAGAAGGCTATGTTTCAAACAGCCAGATTGCCATCGGCGCTGCGATCTTATTGGTTCTAACCCTCAACCAAGGTCCGTGGCTCACCACGAGGCTGTTGGGTGATGTAGCCTCCCACATTTCTTGTTTTTCCTTTTCAATTTTGTACGACTATTACATTATTCTTGTATATCACTTGAGCTTCCAAGCATATCAAACTTGAATCAAGCAATTCTAGCTTCCAGATTTAATGAGCTGAAAATTCTGCATGAGTGGTTTATTGGTCCCTTTTTCTTTTAAAAGAGCTTTTCAGCCTCACAGGCGAAAACTGGCTTCTATTGAGATTTGTCATCTATTGATTGAAAGAGATGTGTATGACTGAGACTTTACTACCACCCATTTGCGACTTTGTACTACCTGCCATCAATAAAATAGCCCCGTTTACCATTTTCGTCTCTACATCTGGACATTTTGTTGGTTCCACGAGAAAGAGGAATGTTCAAGGAGAGTAAGGGGTTAAATGTACTCGGTAGATCTATGGCTGATGTCATGAATACCCGCTGAAAGGCATGTTCGCGCCGATCAAAGAGAAATAAAAAAAAGGGGTGAATAAGATAAGACATAACTGAAAAAAGTAGTATGTTATATCCAAAGGTATCGTCACATATATGTCCAATGCAGTATGTTCAACATAAAATGACAAAGTATGCAACGCCGACATCTTGGTCGCAGTGCTAATATAAAGAATTTTAAAAGCCAAAAGAAATGCACATTCACATGGGAAGCCCATTAACCGGCTTTTCGGTCTGCTCAAAAACATGAGTCTCCAGCTTCTGCGTTATCCGCGCGCAGAAGCTGTCCACATAGCTCGTCCAGTAGTGCGCGACAAGGTACACCAGCGCAAACCACAAGGGAATACTGATTGCAAAAGTCAAGTTTGAGCCTCGAGGGAGATAGGGCGAGTGTTCCATCTCGCCCTTTTCGTTTTTCCATTCTTTCCATGGCTGGCCGGAGATTCCGTAAATCATCCAGGTGAGCACGGTACGAAGGAGGGTGCCGTGGGTCAGGTAGACGGCAAAGCTGTTGCGGCCCAGCCAGAGGAAGAATGGTCTGGAAAGGAAGGATTTGACAGAGGGAGAGAGGTAGATTGCTAGAATGACGAGGTCGACTCCTAGAGCTGTGTACCGTTTACCTAGGTTGATATCGTGTGGGAATATATATTTCGAAAGCTGTAGGAGGAAATTGGACCAGCCACACCATTCAGCGTTGTGGGCAGGGTAAGAAGCGGCGAAGAGGCCGAGCGCCGCGACGGTGACGGAGAAAATCATGCGACTCCAACGGCGGGATGAGATGAAAGTTTGAGCCGGTTGGTGGTTTGCCATGTCAGACAGGAACATTCCAAAATAGAATTGCTGGCCAAAGGTTTCTATTACAATGTTAGTGCCCACACGCTCCAAGAAAGTTCTTGTAACTTGACTTGACTTTCAGATGGCCGCCATACCTGTATCCGCCCCACGGCTTTGCCAGAAGTAAAAGTACATTCCAGTATATATTAGCATCCGATACTGGTACTGCACATACATCGTAGCAACCAATGTGACGTAGACCATCATGGAACCCTTGAGCAATGGCAGTAAGGCCCATTGGTGGTCGTCGTAGTCCATATGTCCAGTGGTCCAGGTGTTAAGAAACACACGAAACAACCTTATAATTTCGTGAAAGAGTGAAGGATTGACCTTCACGCTGGAGAAGCGTAACCAGCCCGAATCACATCTTGCGCCAACGGTAAACGCACCAAACTGCGCGATTGCCCATGATATAAGCAGTGCGATCGTCGCCGGGAGTACCAATCGAATTGGCCGCCGAAAAGCGCTCTTCGCGATGGAGGTAAAAGCAGCCTGGTAGTTTCCAGCTCGAGAAAGCCGGAGTGGTTTAAGCGCACAGACATAGCCCGTGAGGAACGCAAAGATCGTGACACCAATTCTCCCCTGCCACGGAATCCGCAAGACGGGTTGCTGCAGTAGTCGGATCGGACCGTTTTCGGTGTCTCTGGCATTAAATAGGTTGTAGTCGAACGCGCGGGCTAGATGTGTAAGAAGCACGAGAAAAGAAGCAATTCCACGCAATCCCTATTGAACGTGATTCACCAAGAACAAGTCAACAAGGCTTCTGGGAGAAGGAGAGAAAAAAACAAAAAGAGCAACCAAGCGGGATCAATAAGGTCGAGATCAGGAGAGGTAACCAACGTCGAATCCAACAAGTTTCAACTCACATCTAGCCACTTGACGTTCCGTCCATTCTCGCTGCCAGAGCCATTTGAACTGCCAGAGCCCATGGCGGGACTCTTGACAAAGGAGGCTATGAAGGGCAGAAGAAACGACATCAGCAGAAGTCGATAAAGAGCGTGGGATCACGCATTCATGAGACGAAAGCAAGCGCCTTTTTGCCGAAATGGTGTCGCGTGCCGCCTTCTCTGTTCGAGTTAGAAGACGGCTCAAATCATGTCTGTGGATGGCGTCTCCTCGTGAAAAAGAATCGTATGGGTTGCCGGGTATGGCGTAAGAAAGGGAGCAAGAGACAGAATTAGACCGAAAAGGGGATTGGAGATCGAGTCGATCTCCACCAGAAACGTAACGGGCGTGCAAGTGGAGATCTTCACTAAGTCTCAACCGTTCCCAGCGTGTTTGAGCCAGAAAATCCCACGCTTGGCATCAAATGCGAAGAATGAGCCACCGGTTCGGTCTGTTTGATGGAAAATGGGAAGAGGAAGAAGAGGAGAAACCGATGGGGGATGGCGAAAAGAAAAGGGGCCTAAAAAAGCGCGACAAGATCCTTGTGGTCAAGGAGCCCATCGTAAAATCTGAATCTGAAAACAAAGGTGGCCGAATTCCCGTGCATGGTTGCGACGAGCAGGGTTGGAGCTGCAGGCCACAGGGATTCCCGCCGATGTCCATGGCGATTCCTTGAGCTTCGAGATGCCCGTTTGGCGAGCAGCAGCGGCGGTCGCAGGGGAGGAGAAGGGAGGAGAGGGCCATCCGCCAAGACTGCCAAGCCGTCGCTCAGGCGGTTTGCGTCTGATTTCGGTTAGCGCCGGGTGGGGTACCGCGACCCACATGGCGTGCAGCCAAGCATCCCGTTTCAGCAAATCGTCATCTCCCAGCCAATGGGAGTGCCCAGGATTGCCCAGGGGCAGAAGGTCATTGGCCATTGAATACGATTAAGTTTGCAGGGGTTCCCCGTCAATTACGCGTGTGTTCCTCGCTTGCAGCGCACGGCGGAACTGCCAAGAGATGGTGGAGCGGAAAAACTACTTGCCATTTGACAAACTGCTTCGTTGCTGTGTTCATCTCCCGCTCCGCTCAAACTGAGAGGGAAAGAAAGGGGAGTGTGGACTTCGAGAGCTTCAAGAGAATATTGGGTTTCCATACTCCGTACAATCTAGAATTACACTAAGTAGAAGACAAGCAGAAAACATGTTTGGGACTTGGGCAATCTCCTTGATTGGTGACGGTCTCAGTCTGCCTATCAATGCTATGACAAAGAAACGTCCATCTCCGGATGGAGCTCTTCTCGGCCAGAAAGGGCACGAGGGACAAAATGAAATAGCGACATGGCTTGCTTAACACAAACGCAAATGTGCCAGCACGCCCTAAAGGTATGAAACAAATGTAGCACTTTTTTGAGAGGCTTCGCTTTCTTCTCCATCCATCCACTGCTTCCCAACTCTGTCAAAAATGGGGCTTGTTCATACGAGGGCTTGAATTCCCCTCCCCAAAAAGAGACGGTCATTTTTTACCATCTTCTCCTCGCCATAAATCCCCTCCGATTCCTTGATAGGATAATGGAAACATGGATCGAAAAAGGGGGTATATGGAGGTTATACAAGAAAAAAGGAAATGAGAAGAAACAACAATTATGTTGCGAGAAAGCACTCAAGGCTTTCCCACGCTCGTACTCACACAATATACTGTAAAAGGACAGAAAATCCGAACCGAGTACATAACGCAGACAGATGAAATATGGTTTAAAAATTAGCAGATGGTTCGATGGGTCTCTCCGCGGAACGCTGCATAGATATGAAGCATGACGAAGGAAAAAGTAACTCTCGAAGTCAAATTAAACGACTCGCGCTTGCAATGCAGATGAAGGGGATGCAAATACAAACATGACATAGGAAATAAAATCAGATGCCAAATGGGGAAACTATGTGAGAATCGAAACAGATTATTGAATAGGGGTATTATCGGTTTTCATTTCGGGTATTTTGCTCGTTGACAGGAACGCTAGTTGTGCGAATCGTCCGCAACAATGCGTTTGGTTTTGATCCTCGGCATAGTCACATCGGGGACTGGTCACACATGTAATCGGCGCGTCAATGGGTCTAGGGGATTGGGGCTCGATCAGTGGCTCTTGGGTGATTCTTCATCGAATAACTTCTCAGAACATCGAGTTGTAAGCCACTGGTGGCGGCTGAGAGAACCGTTGATGTCGCTGTATGGGTCGGATTCTTGGTACTTGTAATGTGCTTGTCCGTATTGCATGGGTTGCTGAGGGGTGGGCGACGTCGGGCAGACGTACAGGAGACTGGCTGGATCCTTCGAAGGGTTCGCGTTGCTCGCAGCGCCAAATGCATCATTTTCGGGGGTAATTGGTGGAGTGATGTAACCATTGGTCATAGCGCGTGGGCAATGTGTTTTCTGGGGGGTAACAAGGCCGATTTCGCCGTCATAAGGCTTTGAGCTTTCTGTACGGTCTGTGGGTGGTGTAGGCGGGTTGTAGGTCTTGTTAATCGACGTTTGACGAGCCAGAAACTGTTCAAGAATCTTTGAAACTCTGGAGTACTGTGCAGATGAATATTTTCGGGAGAGGACATGCGACGGTTGAAATAAATGCTGTGACAAGTTTACCAATGTCAAAGGATCGTAGCTCGACGCCCAATCATTGTGCGAAGCTTGCGAACGATTCAGGATACACCTTGAAAGTGCCAACGCAGCCCGTGCGAGATCAGCAGAAAGTTTAGACACAAACTCCCTGTGGAAGAGAGCGATCTCCAAGATGTAAAGGGACAGATGCTCAACTTCTGGATCATATGGCGTATCGATGACTGCGATTTGCAAGAAGCTATCCACGGTTGGGTGGCCAATTGACCAGCTAAGAGTTTGAAGCACGTGCCACTCCATTTGGACAAACATGTCGTCATCATAGAGAGCGCAGCACATGGACTTTAGGTCTTTGATCGTTGGAACACGCTCCTTCTTATCGCCGTATTTAGCCGCAATGAGCAAAGCTGCACATCCAACCAGCTGATAATGTCTTTTATACACCACACGCTTCGAGCAATACCGATCCAATAAGTTGACCGCCAGAAACAGTGTCGTGGGAAGCAGCTGGAAAGCGGCGTGTGCCTCAATAAGAAAATCGAGCAAGTAGGGCCGCATGAACCATTGAATCTCAGTTTGGATATCGATGGAGTCGACATCTGGTAACGTTGCCGACTGGTGTCTAGAGTTAGCGTCCTCCACCGACATAGGCAGGCCGATAGTACGTACATCAATCATATGCATGTGAGCGACGATATCCTCCTGATATTCCTCTCGCACGGCATTCGACATCTCATCTCCCATGGCATATTGGCGCTCACGAGCGATAAGCTTTGCGTGTTCTTTCAGACACAGGCGGCTTGGCTGATAATCACCATCGTAGGTCTCCACAAAGTAAGAATCACAAGGCTGGAAATTAGACGAGTATCGTTGGTACGCCATATTGTTCGGAAAATGACAAGCTGCTGGTTTTGATCGAAGTTGCAATTCAGATGACGCTCCACTTATCTTCGAAGCGAGCAGTGCCGAGGATTAGTGCTATTGTAACGAATGAAAGAGAAAATGCAGAGTAAAAAGACTTAAAGAGTGAAGTATAGTTGGAACGAGAATATCAAAGAGAGATGAATGGTGCAGGTAGTAAAACCGCGCCACTTTCGGTTTAATCGAGGCCCGCAAGGAAACTGTCATTCTTACGTCAATATATGCTGAGATCCAGGGTGCTGACAGAACGATGGATGGAGCGAAGCTCAAGTGAAAAAGGGCCTACCTATTCCAGGTTCCTATCAACCAGATATCTAAAAACCGTTTGCAAGCAGATGCCAAGACATACGTGCTCGGAATTGGTTTGTAGACTATATCAGAAGTCGCAATAATGCTTGTTCAGAGTGAACGACGAGTTAACGTCTCCACCTTATGATCACGGATGTAGCCCTCGACTCGCGCCGGGATTGGAAGGGTAGTCAGCTTCGTCCTAATTGGTGTTAGCGGGCCGGGAACTAACACCGCTCCGTGACAGGAGACATTGAAATTTAGCCGGTGATACACACTCTTTTGACCTGTAAACCTGCAGTGGTGAATGGCCAACGGAGTTATCCGATTCTTAGGGTTTTGATGTCCGGAGAAATGAACCTAAAGTGAGTTGACCGTGTCAGTATGACTGCCAAAATTTGAAGCCACAAAGAAAGAAAAACGAGTGTGGATGATGACAGAAAAGAGAAATAAATCAATCCCTTCGCTTCAGGGGACAAAATTCAGCCGCTGGTGAGGGTTTCTAATGCCAAGGGAGCACTAAACCACCTCAAGCTTGGTGATAGGGCTATTGCACTGGGTTTGACATTGCTCATACAGATGTAGATGATTCCGGGCAAAGAGAATATTGCACGTCAAATCCAGGGGATGCCTCAAAGCTTTTTGGATGTCTCGCGGTAGGAAGTTCCATGTAAAAAGTATGTCTGTAGGCCGGCATAAGGGCCGGATTTCGAGGCATCATGTAATTCAATACGCGTATAAGAGCCCGTTTTAGGGGCTTCATAACCCCATATTGTCAAGCAGACATGATCCATGGGATGATTGAGAGTTAAAACACGTTCAGAAGGAATGAACCTCACCTTAAATCGGAACAAGACCCAGAGCAAAAAAAAACTCAATTAAGAACAAGTGAACTGGAAAGCCAGCAGCTTCTAACAAATCCCACGATTGTCTTGGTATTCAAGATATACCGCTAGAAATCACAGGATTGGGAGCTCCGCCGAAAGCGGGTTAGGACGAGGGAGACGAGAGGTGTTAGAAGCAATTGAGGGAGGAATACGGCGATATGGAGTCGAGGAGAGAGGAATTGAACCCGGGCTCGACCTGCTGTACGTGAAGGAGAAAAAGAATCTTCGACAGGTGGGAGACCAAGGGTCAACCACGTCTGAAGATATATGGTTAACGACAACGCTTCCACGAGACCAATTCTCCTGCACTCTCCGGGGGGTTGACGGAAAGAAGAGAGGCGGAAAGGAGAGGGAGAGAGATAAGAGCTGGGAGAGAGGAGGAGAGGACGGGGCGACGGAGGAAATCTCTCTCCTAAAGGGTTGGAGGAGAGAAGAAGAAGAAGGGAAGAGGAAGAAGAGAAAGGTGAAGGAGGATGTTGGATCAGACTTTCAAAGGCTGCCATTTCCAGACTAGTCGAATGGGGTTGGAGGCTCCCCTTTGGTTTTGTTCCATGAGTGGGCTAACCGACTGATTGGCTGACGCCCATTACACACCGGTTTTGAGACCAGCCGGCGAAGCTGCCTAGTGTAAGGGGGCACCGAGCATCCATACGTTACTCGGCAAGGTAAGTTTCAACCGATGCAGCTCGTCAAGCTGCCAATTCAGTTGATCTGGGCTAAATGTCAACTGTCTCACTCTCGCGTGCATTCGAGGTGTTTCTTGATCCCCGAGTAAACGGGATCCTCGATGTCCTCGTTCTCTCTGGTTGAGGGATTCTTTGTACAGAGGAACAGCCCAAACCTCAGCTCCACCAGGATTTGGAACGAGTTTCTTTTACGCAGCCCAGAGAAGATCAGACGGAAACGGGCGTGTGTATCGCTGTGACAAGCGCGTGGCTGTATTGTAAGCTAATCCTGGCAGAACAAGCCGACCAGGAGCACCTGCACCACTTTTTGAAAGACAAGCCGAAATTTTGGGGCCACTCAACATGCTTGGATTGTCTGGTACACCCAGAGCAAAACATGTTATTTCTCGTATCAGTGTTTGAGAGAGGCAGCAGTAACAAGTGCTGATGTTACATACTGCATCTCCGTCACTCAGAGATCCTGTGGCGCTCAACCCTGCTTTTTCTGTTGGAATTGATTTCCCTCCTGACATCTGCCTCCCCAGAAAGATCTGACAAAAGCCAGATTGCATGCGGTTGTGCTCCGGCTTCTCTCTTTCGTCTCACTGCTGAACGACAAAGGAACCAAACAGCACTGCTTCTGATGCGCCTCATATCCACTCTTATCATCCACAAAGCTCTCACCCGCGTTGTTAGAGATGCCTCATACTTTTTTTTTTGTTCCAAGTCGTGTTTGCTTTCGCCATCGCACGCGTAGTTATCCCTTGATGTATGGATGGGCCTTCTCGAAGCAAGGCCCGAGCCCAACAGCGGATGGTTTGTATGTGGTACCGTAAATCTCTGTGTGATCAATACAAACTGTAATTTACTCAAGGCCAATTTCCACTGTTTGCTGTCGGAGGACGCGAACAAGGCCTGGTCTACGAAGTAGGGAGTACCGATGACAGGATTGTATTATTGCTTTCGGTACTAATTCCCAGCTCAACAATCCTCCATTCTCGTCTTTTTTCTGTTATAAGAAACAAATAAGAGCCAACGGCGTTTGGTGCAATTCTTTCATTACGTGCGCTGGGCTAGCTGCTATGTCGTAATCTCGCGAAAGAACATTGCGGTCCCAGAACACGCTCTGTGATACCGCTCATATTCCGGTCCAGTCGCGGTGGGCGCCGCAAAAATTTTCTTCTCGAAAACACTGACTGGGAAGCATAAACAGCTTTTCCAGCGGAACCATGGTTAAGTTGCTCGGGTACAGGAAAGTATCCATTTGAAAGGAAGTCCCGGCCCAGTGAACCCTATTGCTCGCGTTTAATAGCAACAGTTTCAGCATACCGCTCACGCAAATCCAAGTACCACTGCGAAAGCTCCGTAAAGTGGGGGAGCGGAAAGGAAATTCTCAGCAGAAAACGGATACCTCTGAGGAGGATCTGTACGAACGGGGGGTTTGTCAATACACTAGAAAAGAATGTTATGATGTCGCTATGGTACAGTTTCGAATGCTCTCTCCATGCTGTTCCTTTTCCCCTGCGATTTGGTTCTCTCACCTGCGTCTGTCTGTTAGCTACACATCCAATTCTGATCCTGGCCACGATGATTGCAGCCTTGATGAATAGAAGCGCAAGCGGATCGCGTATCGTATGATTTGATGTAGGGCTCCCTGTTTGCTCAAGGTCTTGCTCTTCGGATGCGGATGTTTCGAATGTCAGATTTAGCACTTTGTGCTTGCGGTTCTCCGAGAGGGCGTACATAACTATCGCCGTTCATGATTGGGGCCAGCTGCGGCTAGCCGAGGAGGAGTTCAAAAAACGACATCCTATTTGCCAATAAGCGCTCTCAATTCGCATTCATCCAATCAGATCCTTATGAATTTTTTTGTCGTAAATTAGGTTACCAAAATTTCTCAGCCTTGTGGCGCGTCGTACAAAGCTGGTAACCACCGCAAAATGCATTCCCGCGACATGTTCTTCATCCACATTGAAGAGCTTGCTCAGGACCTTGATGCAGTGATTGCTCTCTAGATGCTACTCTTATGTACTCAATTCATCACTCTATGGTTTAGGTGTGAAATCATCAAGGTGGTCCAGGTTCGAGATCCGCTTCAAATCTCCACCCGTGCAGAAAATTTTCCGGGTTGGGACAAAAGGAAGATGAGCCCGTATTTTCCATTTTGAACCCAGGCCAGGCGACCCCGTTTGTGGCCGTCGGGTTCTTGTGTATGCGGTTGTTTTTCGCAACTGGTTTCTTCTCGGGTGAGACAGCTATGAGCACACCGGAGAGTTGCACCATCGTTACGAGAGACTCTCAGTAGTGGCATGGAGCAGCACATCTGGATAGTGTGTGGAATGAAAGGAAGGCCTTGACCAATCCTTTCCATGCAGAAGGCAATATTTCATGCAAGTTTCTACTAGGTTCGCAGATGACCTCGTAAAAGCGAAAATCATCTCCGACTTGTGGTGTTTGCTTCGTTTGTCAAATAATCGCGGATGCTTAGATAATGAATAGCCCAACACTTTCGCTGTACTCCGTAATCCAGCCCTGATAGCTCAGTGGTAGTAGCGCTTGACTTGTAATCAAGAGGTCCGCGGTTCAATCCCGCGTCGGGGCAAACACACATTTCCAACTATCATTTTTTGTGTGTAGTTACTATTGCTATTGCTATTTTTTTAACAGCCTTGATCCAGTTTTCATCTCCAATCCACAGTCTCTAACAACAAGAAATGCCACCACACCGCGCGGCGCTCCGAATCGATGATGCTGACATCGGCACCTCATGACTTCCACGCTCTCACCCCTTGGTCCAATAAAACACGCGATGCGTCCCGCTGGCTGCTTGGCTCGCTAATCCCACGTGCGCCGACGCGTCCTGATTGGATCGACCGCCGACCCCCAATCGCGTCTATTTGTCGATCGAAGCTGAACCTGGGTTATTAGTCATGCGTCTCGGGGAAGAATACGCCAGAGCTTGAAAATACGGGAATACACATTACACTGTATCAAAGCCTGTATGTGTATTACCATACAACGTATCGAGGTTCGGTAAGATTGGTTTGTCGTGCTTGTCCGGAGTATGGAAATATACACGGCCCTCGGAGGCCCCCTTTTAAGGAGCTTTGACGAGAGCGCGCATCTTCATCGTCTGCACTGCACGACGGATGCTCAACTGGATAGCAGGCGACCAGCACATGTATTCTGTTCATCATGCCAGGGACTTGCTTGCGGTACTCAGGCCCAGTCGTTTCTCCAAAGTTCGACATTCTTGCCTTCAACAAGGGCAAGCTGCGAACGTGTCAACTCGCGACTCTCTTCGCCCGGAATAGTAACCCAGATCCCGGACGAAGACTAGGAACAAACTAATAATAACAAGCAGCGCGATCCTCTCCAGCCTTTGCATCAGCTTGTTTTACAGCAAGTTGCTCTTAAACTCCCGACGTTAATCACGTCAGAACGCGACCTCGTGTCTCCCTGCTTCTCCGCAACAAGACGAACACTACGTTGAAGAAATCCCCCACCGCCCTGCCATATGTCCTCTGTACATATGCAGCTTAAAAACATCAAAAGTTGGCACATTATTTTAGAACCAACCATCCGGACAACGGGCTTGGCTTGTTTCATACTGCGTTGAAGAAGGCCGCTTGCGAGCGCGAGGGGAAGAGAACAAGCGGAAGCTTCTTGTGCCGTTCAGCGTTTCAACTGCGATAGCGCTGTGGTCGGCTCAGTAAGTGGCACACGGTCCGAAAGCCCATCCTGAGACTCTTGATCAGCAGTTTTTCAAATCTTCAACGAAACCGAGCATCCCTATCCATAACTGCTTTGCTGCGTACTGTTGCTGTGTCGATCCAGGGATGGAGGTTTGCCACCCCTTTTCCCTTGAAGTGGCAGTCTACTCCAAAGAATTTAAGATCGATCAAAGGCCAATGAGTGTATCTGAATATCGTTCATCATCGCATCCTCGCCAATCAGCATGTGAGCACCACAAATGGACCAATGCCCCTTGAATCTCACCCATCAGCTCTCCGGACCGAAGAGCGCGTCCCTACGTTAACTCCGTGCCTGTGCCTGCTCTCGTGGCCGTGTAGGTGTAACACCGTCATCGTCAAATCTGCAAATCCGGGTTCTGTGGAGCTGAGGGAAGATACCGGGGGCGATTCCAAGAGGGGAAGCTCCCTGAGGCTCCCTGAAGCTCGCTCGGTTAGCACACTAATAGCTCGCTCCTAAGCACGATTCCTGCTGGGACTCTCCCTTCTCTCGAACCCCTGAAGCTCCCCTCTCTGACGTGGCAACCCCAGCTGTGCTTGAGACCAATAAGTCGCCCACTTTCCCCACGATTTCTCAGCCTTGAGTTCCGTAGAAAGGGGGGCAAAGGCCATCCAAAGACCCTGTTCAGACTGCATGGCCTCTCCTTGGTTTTTTGCGCAGCCCATGCAGTGGCTGATGAGGAGCATGCCCAGCTGCCGAACCTGACTGGACACCAGCATATGCAGGAAAGAATTGCTGGAAATTGATTACAGATGTCTCCCTACTCTGCCAACCAAGAGAATCCGCGGGAAGAAATGTCCCGACCGAGGGGAAGGCAGATCAGAGGATGCCAACACATGAAATCTCCTTTTTTGACTCCGCGCAGTGGCGACTTTTGGGAGTGGATTTGCAATTCAACCCATCTCAGCCACTGACGGAGCAAACCCAGGGCCATTTCAAGACGAGCTGACGATGGAGAATATTGGATCTTGAGAGCCAACTGCGGGACTTCTAGACGGTGAATGCATGGGTTCTTGTCATGCATCACCCATAAGGCTAACCCCACACTGATGTCTATCTTTGCGCAGGAATTGGGTTCCTTGTTTTGCAGGACATAGACAGATGAAAGGTGCGGTGGTGCACCTCGCGATCTCGATCCGAGGCTACTACCCGTCTGCTACGTACGAATACAATTCCTCATGGGTGTCAAGGCACCAATCGCTGTGCAAACGACTTTTCGCTCGTGGCCCCTTCAGAATTTCGGTTCCATCGTCACACAAAGTCATATGTAAAGGCAGAGTAGTTTGCTATCCTGAACACCAACACCCGTCGTTCCTGCGAACATTCGCCGCTCCCGCCTCTCTCCCATATGCTCCTAATCGCTAGTAATCTTCATGCCGCTTTCTTCCGAACCCACACGCTTCTCTCGGCTTTCTTTCCTGACTGACGGGTGCTTGCTGGTGTCACCATTGCTTCTGGATAGGTCATATCCGTATCTTACATCCAGAATCCGCTGCGGCAGAGCAACTGCAGGTGACGCGTTTCTGCCGGGTATGCAGCAGCATCGCAAGGCCCCAGGATGGCTGTTCCTCCGAAATAGCATTGTTGCTCCGAGTACAAAGCGCGCATGGCATGGGCACACAGGCGGTGTGTCTCTGGGATGAATCTAGGCTAGGCCTTTTAGAATAATAGCGGTTTCAGGCAATTCCGTAGCCAAAAGCCATCGCCTTTTACATCTCTCCGGGGGGGAAGAGAAGAAAACGAAGAGCCAGAGGCCCAGAAGACGGCCTGCTGCGCTCTGATTCTCTGAATCTGTAAATTTCCAAGTGCAAATCTGCAGCAAGTATTGCCGAATATCATGCCAGTCACGTGATCAAACACACCGCGAAAAACTTCCGTTTTGGGAGCTCGCGCATCAGCGAAAAAAATAGTTTGAAGACGCAGCGAAAGACCACTGCTCGACCAGCTTCGATTCATTCCCGTGCAGTAAACGATCCTGGGACCAATGGCTCCTTAGGGGCGTATCAGGAGGTATGGCTACTGTTGGATCGTGCCGCCGCGCTTCTCTGCGGTCCTCTTTCGTCCAAGGTTGAACTGACCAATATCTCCCACAGCTCAGTATGGATATTCACCGGTGTCGCTTTGTGCCGTACAACCCACAGGCAATCAACGCACTTGCCTTTTCACATCCTCCTTCAGCGGACTTATCGGGTCGTGGAGTGCCCACCTTACGCCTAGCAATCGGCCGTGCAAACGGGGATATCGAACTCTGGAACCCGCTCAGAGGAACCTGGTGTCAGGAAACGATCTTGCGCGGTGGGAAAGACCGAAGCATTGAAGGGCTCGTGTGGACGCTCGATCCAAGCGAGAAGGACTCCGAGGGCAATGACGTTCCGGGCAAGCTCCGATTATTTAGCATTGGGTATTCGAGTGTCGTGACGGAATGGGATCTAGAGCAGGGTCGTCCGGCGAGGCATTCGAGTGGGAATTATGGTGAGATTTGGTGTCTGGCGGCGCAGCCGAGATGGAAGTCTTCGCGGAGGGGAGAAGATGGGAGGCCAATGCCTCCGGCGGAGGGGGAGTTTGCTGGTCAACATCTTGCAGTGGGATGCGCAGATGGAGCGATTGTGCTATTGTCCACGTCCGATGGAGATTTGAAATATCTTCGCACGATGAGGCCGTCGACTAAGAAATCACGAGTGCTTAATATCACTTTCCAGAACCGGGATACCATTGTTGCGGCGTACGCTGATAGCTCGATTCGAATTTTTGACATCCGCAACGGTAAACTGCTTCGCACTGTGACTCTTGGAAAGGGACAGCACAAAGCTGCGAAAGAGCTACTGGTCTGGACGGTGAAATGTTTGCCAGACGGCACAATCGTATCTGGCGATTCTGCTGGTGAAATACGATTCTGGGACCCGAAGAATTATTCTTTGGTCCAACGAATACACAGTCATCAAGCCGATATCCTTGATATTGCGGTCAGCGCAGACGGAGAATCGGTAATTACTGTGGGTGCTGATCAGCGAACCACGATTTACAAGCCAAAGGCCCCCGAGAGAGGAGCAAAGTCGAGGCGTTGGGTTGAAGTTATGCATCGTCGATACCATACCCATGATGTCAAAGCAATTGCCGTCTACGAAACAAAAGAGATAAGCGTCATGGTTTCTGGAGGTAATTCGCTCAAATGCTACCCATTCTTGAAGAATAAGGCACCTAACATTATCGTTTTCAGGACTCGACACCGTGCCTGTTATAGTCCCGCTGCGAAGTCATGAAGAGGAACTTCACCGAAAACTCCCAAGTCTCCCTCAAAGACCTCAAGTGTCGTCGTCACCTTCGTCTCGACTATTGATGAGCTGGTGGGATCGAGAAGTTAACATCTGGCGCGTATCTTCCCCTACTCTACCCGAACCACTCGAGCCTCAGCAACATAAACTCGTCGCCAAAGTTTTATTTCAGGTAAGATTTGGAACTAGGAAGCCGGAGTGAATGTTGGACTGACCTTATTCCAGGGCGAAGAGAATTTGACATCAGCAGCACTATCATCCAACGGAAAGTTTCTTGTAGCAGCTTCAATTTCCGAAGTCAAGGCATTTGCCTTATCTCCCAAGGTAAACGGAGACAAAACCATTTTGCAAGTCAATAAACTTGAAATTCCCGTTGAGATTTCGAAACACGGAGCTAGGGAGGTGGCTATTTCCCCTGATTGCCAGTGGCTCTGTCTTATACGCCCAGATAATACCGTTTGTATGGCCAAGATTGATAGCGATCCTGAAGTCCCTGGCCGCGCTCGGATACTTCCTCGATTGAGAAAGCTGCGTCGCGTACAGCGGCATCTACCGCGTGGAAAACGCCATCACGGATCGCTTGGCACATACGATAGGACAATACGATGCGTCGCTTTCTCTGCCGACAGCAGGATTCTGGCATGCGGCGATATTGCTGGTTTCGTTGACTCGTGGGTGTTGCAAGACGAAACCGTTTTGTTAACTAATGGGACGAGTGACGATAAAACTTTTCAACCAGAGTCATCTGATGACGACTCTTCCGACGAAGAAGGCGACAGCTCAGAGAGCGATGGCCAACGCTGGGTCGTTCCTCGTTTCGATTCACCCATACCCCAGTGCAAGCCGGGGATTCTACTCATGACTTTCCGTCCTCCCTCTCAATCACAACCTACACCTCTCATGAACGGCGACAAGTCCAATTCCACTTCACACATTAGTGAAGGCAGGTTAATTGTCTTAACCACGGAACACCAACCTCTAGAATTCAATGTAATACAAGGCAAACTTACGGATTGGGCACGAAGAAACCCTAAAACATATTTACCCAAGGCTTTTACTATCATCAAAGACAGGGCTATGGGCGCGTTTTGGGATCCAAATGGTAGCAACGAACGTCTATGGTTATATGGGCCAAGTTGGCTGTGGATGTTTGACTTGTCCCAAGATTTCCCAACTCCCGAGGATCTTGAAGCCGAAAAGAAATCAAATGCGGTTTCAAAAATCGATAGTGCCAAAGACGCATCTAGATCGAAGAAACGGAAACGGCCCGACGCTGGGGAAGACAAAATTAAACAGCCCAATTCCGGTGCCGGAGACAGGATCCCTCTCTGGCACGATAGTATTGGCTTCGGAAGAAAGATGCGCAAAGTAATTGGTAGCGACGGAAAGGCAGCACAGGCGACGTTATCCAACTTGAATCACCATGTCAACCAGCATCAAAATGATGAAGAAGATGTGGACCTCCACCTTGAGCCTTCTCGATCTCTCCTGGCCGATTTACGGCGAGAACAGGCACCAAGCTCCCAGAACGCAGATCTAGACGACCGATCGGACCTGGAAAAGAACGAAGCAAAAGAGAAGCAAAAGCAAAGCCAGCCACCATCGTTGTCGTCGTCTCCCGTCAAACCTCCCTCTTCTGACTTGCCCAACGGTACGGCCCCATCCCAAGTCGCGTTCGCGGTCGTCATCCATACCCAATCCAAAACTAATCCCAACGTTCAAAAAGCATCCGAAACAAACGACAACGCAAGTGACACTGAATCAATCCAGCCCCAAGTCCAAAACTCCCCGAACGGCGCGGAGCCGAGTTTAGAGTCCAAGACCAAACGTCGCCAAAACGCACGTCGATGGTGGCATACGTTCAAGTATCGTGACATATTTGGAATCGTGCCGTTGAGCCAGGGATTCACAAGCGAGAAGATGAACGGCGATTCGATCGGGAAGGGATTAGAAGTTGCGGTGGTGGAGAGACCGATGTGGGATGTACCGCTGCCAGGGCGATATGTTAGAGATTATGAGTGAAGATCAGGAGGTCTGATCAGGAATAAAAAAAATGTCAAGGCCATCAGGCTCTGGATTGTGTTCGTCGTGGATTTTCTGTTGCGGTTTCGTTTCTGCATTGCGCAAGGCGTTCACAGTGGTAATGATATATCTTCCTTTCGGGAGAGTGGCAAGAATAGAACTGCAATTGAATCCATCTGAGTGCACTAGTTATGAAGTCTAGATCGGGGGGGTATTTAACCCCTTGAGGATTATAGTAATCGTGGCAACGATCGCACTCACTCTTCAATAATTACCTCTTTATTTCCTCTCCAAACACAGAGCAACATTACACAGAGATGAAGACAGATCCGAAAATCAGGCGTTCTTTGAACTAACTAGATAGCAGCAAAATAGTGACAGTTAACTATATAAGCCCAATGGCGATATTCCCCAAACGATTGCGCTTTAGTTACAGTCCAGCTGTCAGTAACTGTACCATAATACAGAGATTAAAGCAATTGTATGTCCATGGTAGTGCCACAAAGGGACACCCACGTACTCCGTAGTGCTTATAACTACTCAAATTGGGTATTTTGAAAGTAAGAGACCTATCGAACCAAAACCCAGTAGGCGAATGGAGGCATGATTCTCAGTGAATCTCGATTTTGGATACCCAGTTCACCTCGAATTCATACCGCAAGCATCCCGCATCGATATATCCGCCTTGGCCTCGATTATCACCTGCAAGATATTAGTTGACAGAAAGCCAGGTCATGATCCCTGAAAACCCACATTTTAACCAGTTTTGATACAGCAACTCGACGCATTCTATATCGCGCTCAGGCGTGCCTTTGTCTGCTTTAGCAAGTGGGGCAGCTGGGCTTACGCTGTCGACAATAGTTTCGCAACCGGGTTTCCAACTAATGGACATGTGGTACGGTACGCGGTAAAGATTTAGCTCCAGATCTATAGGCTTTTTTCCTGGAGACATTTTTGCCTCGTCCAGATGGAGGCCCGTACAAATCTCGTCGGCGACGTATTTCACCGCGAACTTGTCAACAACGCCCAAGTCTGAAGAAGGGGAGGTGAAGCATTGGCGCTTCTCAAGCTTCAGTGGCTGTATCGGCTTCTCTGTTGGAGTAGACTTCGGGCGCCGAGTGCTAGTTGTGAGTGTGGTTGGTTTGACGGTAGTGGATGGCGGGTCACGTCGAGTTGTTGGTTTGGTCGATGTTGTTGAAGTGCTAGTAGGACGCTTAGAAGAGCGTGAAACCGAGGACGTGCCCGGTACGCACTCCTCTTCCTGCCGACGAAATATATGTCCTTTTGGCTTATAGGAACAATATCCCTGTGATTTAACATTCTCAGGTTTCACACCGTTCCATATCCCCAGGATAGGCCCGTCGTGTGGGTCAGTATATCGCACCCATCCACTGTTGAGGATATACTCTTTAAGGCCGGCTGGGCTCATGTCGGGGTTGTTGCCTTTCGAATCAGGTGGAAGCCGCCCAACCTGGTGAAGACTCAGGAAATACGCAGCAAGCGCGGCGGTCATAGCAGTGGCTAATACATTTATTGTCAAAGGACGCTAGTGAGGCTTCTAAGTGTATCGACTTACCTTCCGAGGTGCCCTGAGTGGACTTGTAAAACTCTTTATTTTTCCATTTCGTTTTGTTGCCCTCCGCAGCCAAGATACCGGTGCCAGGAGCGTATATGTGAGGAAGGCCTTTGGGTAGGTCGATGCCCGACTTCCACCATCTTTGTCCATTGCTTGGATCTAAAGCCCCGACCACCATCAGTTCGGGAATGTGAAGTTTACCCGCTTGCGGTTTAGCACCAAAGAGAGCTGGGTATCCATTAATCTACAGTTGAGTGTTAGACTATGAATCCTTGAGCGTAATAAGCCTATGTATGGAGTAGCTTGAACTTACAATAAGATCGTTACCCGAGCCAACAACCACAAAGACACCTTTTCGAACCAGGCTCGTGAGTAGCTCATACATCCTTGTCTGCCATCGCATCCAGGCTACCTCCATATCAGATTGTTCTATTTGCTTTAGATCGAATGCTCGCCGAACCGATTTTTCGAAAAGTCCAGGCGAGTAAATCCAGGACAGAGAGACGATGGCCCGCGTTTTCTCGCTGTCATTTGGAAAGGCGTCAAGGATCTTACCTAACCCATTAAGCCAGTCTATGGGTGTGGAACCGCCGCCGCTTTCATCCCTTCGTGGTATGCGCACGATAATCGGCTTGATCCTTTTGACAACTCCAAGCTTATAACCGGCTATCACGCTCAACATGGCCGTGCCATGTGGGTTGCAAGGAGGGCCAGTCACTGAGCAAAAGCCACCAAGCGGAGTACCAGAATCATCCTTGTGCTCCTTACCGTCATAATCCGGGCCCGCAAACAAGAATTCGGCTTTCTTAGCTATATTATCGCCCTTGGTGAACTCCTATAAAATATCACTGCCAGTCCAAGAAAGGTAAATATACGTGGATCACTTACTGGGTTGTCTAGCTGGGCCCCGGTATCTACAATGTAGATGGGGATGTCCTCCACTGCGCTAACATTGAAGACATAGGATTCCCGTAAAAGTTTTTCATGAAATTCTTCCTCGGGATTTGAGATGAAAACTAACTGGGTGCGACCTTCGTCGCCGTCAATGAACTCGTCGACGTATTTCTTTTGATACCTCAGCCTTGGGCCTGAAGTGAACGGGTCTCCACAGTTCGACTTGCATTGAGGGTACACCACTGCAACCTTTCAATTAAGTTCCGTTAGTGATTGATTTTCATGTTTTGTTCATTACTGACTGACATTTGGTATGTCCCTAATCCTTTGTACCTGATCGGGTTCTAGCAAGACCCGCCAGACGTGGACTCCCAAGCTCTTGGTTTTCAAGACTGTGATTTTTGTTTTATCATGAAGCACCTTCTGCATCTCACTGTGGATTGCATTGGTTTCGCCAATTTTCTTACCGTCCTTTGGCCAAACAATGTACTCTTCCAGCAAGGGACAAAGGTTTCGACGATGACGACTCCCAGTAGGAGCGGGGGTGCATGACACGGTTGTCGTAACGGGCGTGACCGAGCAGCCCTTTCTGGGGATCGTGGTCTTCGTCATGCAGGCTGTCATTCCGCTTCCGCTACAAGTGATAATTGCATCAGTCACAGTGGAAGTTGGACACTCTTCTGTAGTCGTTGCGGTAGCTGTGTGCGTCGCATCTGTCACTAAGCAACCGCGTACCTGGACGCATGTTGGAGGGATCACCTGTGATGAGATCGTCTGCAACGTATTACCAACAGCCGATACAACGAATGATGTAGTAGTGGAACATAGAGAGGCTGCCTTGGTTCTGCATTTGGTGGGGTTCGGCTTCGGAGGGAATGTGGGAACGCCGTCAATCCCAACACTGGCACGGTGAGAAAAGAGCATTAGTCAGTTCTTCATAGAAATGGGTAAATCCGACAGTCGCATACGTGAACCTAGGCCATGGCGGAAGTTCGCCTTTGAACTGTATTTGTGGTGGGAGCTTGATATTCTGAATCGGAGGAGGGCCACTGTGATCAACTTATTAACTAACTAATGCTAACATGCAGCAAAAAGTAGAGGTATCGTACGGAGGATAAATCCCGGGGGGGAGAATGAATTCCCAACCTAAAATATTTATATCCTCGAATCGAATGCAAACCTTTGGAACCTGAATCAGCTAAATACTTGCTATCTCCAGGATTCACACTCACCGAGAAAAACCATAATTTGCATGGTATTACTACACCGCCATCGTTGTCCAGTCGCTTGGGCTTTTCGACTTCAACTTCAACCGGAGTGACAACAGCGTCTGGAGGCCACCGAGTAAAAGCCGTCGACAGACGGTCCGTCTTGCTAGCGTTTGTCTTGGGTGTTGTTGCTGGCGCATTTGATGACTTGGTGAGAGAAGGATCCTTTTTGGTTTCCCTGGAAGCTGTTGCTGGTGTATTTGATGACTTGGTGGGTGAAGAATCCTTTTTGCTCTCCCCTGCCTTGGAAGTTGTTGCCAGTGTATCTGATGGCTTGGTGGATGAAGGATTCTTTTCGATTCCTCTGCTTTGGAAGTTGTTGCTGGTGTATCTGATAGCTTGGTGCGTGGAGGGACCTTTTTGCTTCTATCTGTTTTGGATGTTGTTACTGACCTAGTTGCTGACGGCTTTTCGGATGGTTGGCTGACGGTAGTCGCAGTTGTTAGCAAAGTCCCTGATGTAAGAGTGGATGCCTGGCGCCCCATTGTTTCCCGCGTTTTTTCAGTCAGAGATGAAAACGCTAAGCTCGCTGATCTAGTTGTCGTTGATTTGGAGATTTCTTCCGTAGCCATGGACGGTCGCCGATCGCTAGTGGTCACACCTGGTACGTCTTTCATGGTTTGGCTCCGGGTGATCATAGTTGTTTCTCCAGGTACGGGTGGAAAGCTGCTGACAACGCTAGATGTTTCGGAACCTGAACTTAGATTTATGCCCATGGATGCTGGAGGCATAATTGTGAACGTTGAGCCGAAAGTAACAAGTGTAGTTTTTACTAGGACACCGGGGAGAGTTGCTGTTTTTGTTCCAACAATGACCAATACCGGAATGTCCTGGCCCGGACTTGTATTAGCAGGTGGCCGCAAGGTAAAGGTATGACCAAGGGTAACCAGAGTAGTTAAAGAGGTTACGACAGGGAGTGTCGCTGTGGTGGTTTCCACTATCACAACAGGGCCAATCAACCCGGAAGAAAGCGGGGCTGCAGTAGTCGGTGATACGCCAGTTTTCGGAAGGGTGGTTTGAGGGCCGGTGGACGAGAGCACAGTACTAGCACCTGACATGGGGGGACTGGTGCCGAACATCGTGGTTTGACTACTTTTTCTAGTGAATGTAGTCATATCCAGGGATTTAGCGGTGGCGCCTAGCTGACTGTTGAGGTTTGGATTTGGCGCTGGTGGTAGCACTACACCATCAGGCCCCGTGCAGCTGTAATCGGCGTTGCATGTATAAGAGTTGTTAGGGCAACATCCAAATCCGCAGCAGATAGTCCCTACATGCATTTAGTTTTAAATGTTTCCTTTCGGTATTTGGAAGCAAACCTGGTCCACAAAGATTCCACTGATTATTAGGTGTCCGGCAACACGTATCTCTGTGTGTACCGCAACGGTCTTGACACCAGTACTGCCCCTCGGGGCAATGCTGTGCCTTGACCGCTGACGTAGTAAGGATCACAACCATCCCCAGCAAAACCAGGCCCCATGGTAATCTAGCCTGCATTGTTTGTCACGGGAACGAAGGCGGTTGCATTTCAGAAGCTTAGGCGGCTCGAACCTCAGTGATACAGTATGATGTAGCAGTGCGGGGAGCTACCGGAGTACTGAAAAAAAATAAAAAATGGAAGGAGATATCTTAGATCTAGACATCACCCTTCTTATATAATTCTCCTCTTACGCATTCCAAGCCATGTCCATGAATGCAAGCGTCTTTTTTGGGATGGCGAAGGACTTGCTCGTGCCCACTAGCTCGCCTGTAGTCGGAGCTTGCCGCACGAGACCGTTTGAAACGAATTGACACCGTTTCTAGCGACCCAGCAGAATGGGAGCCGGAGTAATGGCCTGCAATGAGTTATACCTAACGGACGTAGATGACCAAATGGCTGATAGGCATTTATCATGAGTTCCCGAATGGGTTGTATGGCCTAGGGGCCCGGGGTTGCGCAAGCATCAGCATTCCCCTCGACAAATTTTGTCTCATGGGCGGCATATATATAAAACTTGGGGGGCCGTATGTTTTACGCCCATTTAAAATCATTGCAGCGAATGCGCAGTAGGTCAGATGGCCCTGATAAGCAAGACATTCGGCGCGATTTTCCATTTCTAGGAGAGGAAGAAGTGAAAATCCCCGAATAAAATGAAACGCGCAATGAGCCCTGAAGTAAGGTAGCGATTCGTGGGATGATGGGGCCAAGGCAGAGGACGCCAGCAAGAACAAAAGGGGCGATAGCAGCCTGCCACGTCGTTAAAAGGGAGGAAACTGCAAGAGAGCTTCGAGAGGCGCTGAAAAGCACTGGTTGAGGTCTACCTAGAGAGGCTGCCATTGAGAAATGAAGTCTCCGGTAGTTCCAGGTAAAGTGGCATTAGCTGAGACGTGAGGAAAGCGGCGTAGACTCCAGCGAAGGATGCGCGGTTTCATTTAGACTCCAAGCAGAAGAACCAAGAGCAACCCAGAACAGAGCGAGCTGCCCAATGTGTTGGGATGGAAGCGGGAGGTTGACGCTTGACGTTCGTTAGCCATAACTTGGAGCCTTGGAGCCGCCGGGAGCGATACTCAATCTGGACTAGCGGCCGCAGCTAACCACTTGATCGTTTAGCGCCGAGTTGCCAAGCTCCTAGTTCCGGCGATGTTAACTTGGTTAATATCGAGTTAATTACCCCGCAGTTGAGATGCCGTCCACACTGGCTTTCTTGTTCCTCTCTGTCCCTTCCATCGAATCGAAGAAGAAGGAACAGGACAGGAAAAAGACAATCCACAAGTCATCACAGAGCCTTCTCAGTGTCGACTCAACAAAGCCTGAGCGTGAATGTCTCCTTTTTGCTGCCTAAGAGGCCCCAAGGCATGGTATCAAAAACTCTTTCGCCGGGGGAAATCCACGCCCAGGAGGAACCCCAATGAATTGAAAACTTCAAATTCCCACCATGATGGACGGCTCGCGAGCTATCTAGCCGAAATCAAAGACGATACATCCTCACTGTCTAGCGCTGAGGAACGTATGATATGGGTCGTTTGGCCGGAGCACGCAGACGATAGCGATTCAACAGGACGTGTGTACAGCCAGCTTGTCGCAATTGCTGGGAGTGAACGTATCAAGACGACCGCATTCAGAGGTTGTGGGGTCATCTGTTGGCAAGTTGAATTAACCATGGACCAGCGCACCAGAGCCGCCGAGATAGCTGAGGTAAGAGAGAGTAGAACTATGTTCAAACTATCGCTGGCAATAATATATAATCATGTGGATGCTGATATGGAAGCAGGTTGCAGTAATGCACCCGGATTTCGAAAGCCCAGGAGAACCATTCTGAGATCAGCTGATCGTAGTCCTGATATTGGATTTGGGTCTATGACTGACTGTATTTTCACCAAGTTTTCAATTAGGATACTCTTTAATAATTGCCTGCTGAAACTAACCGTTGCTGCTACTCTTAGGTATGATTGCCTCTTTGTCTTCTAACCACATGTTTTATCGCTAGCAAGGCCGGCATCATCACTTATCTAGAAAATCTGAACTCATTGGGTGGATTTGTACTGAGTAACTCACCTGCCTGTTGAAACAAAGCCTGGGCCCCTTATCTAATCTGAAATTTGAATGATCTTTTGACACTTGGGTTCAATTTTCACAGGGAGGCTCTCTAATCACGCACTATCAATCTCTGATTTCTTATTCCACTCTGTCCTTCTCTTAACCCAGTGGCAAGCATGTTAAGTAGAGGATTCCTATTTGAAATATAAAAGATATGGTACGGAGGCCGATTTGGGGTTTATATTACGGGTTAAGGGTTACTCTGTTTCTGGTAATTATGCCTTGGCTTGAGGGTCATATGGGATGGCTTCATTGTACGAGTTCTCAATAATTGTAGACTTTGGACGGAAGATGAGTGGTTCAAACGCCCCAATCGAGTAGATAGAAACAACGCGGAAACCGAGTACCTTAAACTACTTATTCCGATCGTTTTCGTTTGCCGGCCGGTGATCCGCCGATGTCGGCGAATTTGTCCCCCAAAAGAGCTTCTGAGGAAATGGGGAGAGTTGCCGTCTCAATATCAAAATCCGTAGGGATGTTTTCCCTCCAGGAAAGAAAAACCTAGCAATCAAAGCCATACTTCGTACTTTTAGCTTCTTCTAAAAATAGATGTGCTTGCGTCGCTGCTTGGGAATCAGGGCAAACCTTGATCCGCGAAAAGATCTGCAAGGATGAATTGGCCAGCATTGGATAGTTGCAAGGGACATTGCATGAACCCCCCGGGGATTCTCCCGCAAAGCCTACGCAGCCGATGAGGTAGTAGTCACAGCACACAAGATGATGATATTTTCTTTATTTACAAAGTAACGTGCCATCGTCGAATAACCAGAATGGTATTTGATGATGCAAAAAAGTCATTGAATGGACAGCGTAAATGCATGAATTTCTTCAATGAGTTTCTGGCTTCTCGATCTCCTTCCACAGCAAAGGTCTTCGCAATAGAGAAATTGAGAGGGGAACGGAACCACAACCAACCCCTGACATTGGAGTCAGTATATAGCTGGAAGGTGATTGTATGAAGAGTAAGGGATAACTTCGTGGTAGGAGACTGGTAAAGTAAAGGTATGCAACCCCATGAAGAAAGGTGGAAGGGTAGTTATAGCAAATGGAAATATAGAATTGAGAGACAACACACTGGCGTAAGAAGATTATCAACAGCCCAAACAGTTGGCTTTCTCTCCACACCTACGGCCACAAGACCAGCAGTCCCAAAATCTTCAGGCCCTTTTAACGTAGAGCATATTAATAATAACAAAAGAAATATATGCAGGTAGATGCAGTCGAATGAACAGATCGCAGATTTTGGATGGAATGGGGGAATAGTGAACAAGGTAAGCTATTGGTATATATATCAAAAACAATCAGGTATATGGATGCATGCGGCACGGTGCTATAATCCCACACCAAACTCCTGTATTTGGCCCCTTCACTTGGGGTGCGGGGATGGGACATCAACGCCAGTAAAATGTAAGTAGATAATGAAAATTCCCGGATTTGCCCTAGAATGTATAGCTTTCTGGGGACGGGGAATAAGAACGAGAATTCGTTAAGCGGTAAGAGGCGTCAACGGTTGGAAGGGTGGATAGGCAAGCCTGCGAGTAAAAGGTTCCGTGGCAATCGTTGGAATCGTGCGGTAAACGTATGAAACATGATCGGAGAAAGGAGAAAGAATGATGTTGTAGTAACCAAGGTTGTCACAAGGTGCTATCGACCCCCCCGCGCTCTATCGGAATCTGGTTGCCCTCTCACACCGGCGGGGCTGACCCATTCGATGGTTCCATCGGCCGCCGTAATGGGGATCTTGATTTCGTCTGGCCGAGAATTCACAGCGCCATTCGGGAGCAGATTGTTGATTTCGGATGTAAGAGCTTGGACCATGTAGCCGCGCAGCTCGCGTTCTTCGCGTTCATCTTCCTTCATCAACCTTCGCTTTTCCTCTTTAGATAGGTTCTCCCTTCGTAATCGCCTAATTTCATGGATAATCCATAACAAAACTTCTTCTGGGGCACGTGTTCTACTCATGCCATGCTTCGCAGAATTGCGAACATATCTTCGTGTGACATCGGTCGCCCCATCATTTGAGAACGCGATACAATACGCCATTTTCCGATTCCAGCCTAATTACGACGAAAACCAGTTAGCATGAATAGTTTGTCCAGGGAACTACCGCAGCATACCTTCAGTATAAAGACGAGGATTGTCCCAGGATTCTTCACAAGCATCCACATGGACCCATCGTCGCTGATGCTCGGAGTACACTTCTGTCCAAACATAGTCTTCCGAGTTCCATACCCATCTAACGCGGCCTCCCACAGCTCGACAGAGCATGCTAAAACAATTGGCCCATTCTCCAACACGGCCTCGTTTTGATTGTAATAACGCCCAGACGTCTGAGTAGCGCGGAAACCGTTCGAAACCACCACAGTTTGGTCCGGAACATCGGTACAACTCGACGCGAGTGGCACCGCGGGCTGTCTCATCAGGAGTGGGTGGTGTCATGCCCTGAGCGATCGTTGGACTATAACATGTAGTGCAGGGAGGATTATTGACGAATTGGAAGAAGGACCGCTTGAACCATCTACGAGGAAAGGGGAGATTAGCAAGTCTTTGAAAAGGGAGAAGAAAGGTGGTTCTGTTTACCTTAACAGCGCCCTAATGACACAATCTTGATAACCCCATGTTGGCTTAACGTTTTCACCCATACTCACGGCTTCTGCTTGCAATATTTGCGATTCCTCCTCAGCTTCAGCATAGAGACGATCCAAGGGGATGAGGGCTAGGGCTTCATCAAGCAATCCGGGGTTTTCATATTTTACTGGAGTAACGGATAGGACATGAAGAAGGTTTCGAAACTTGATTGATGTGGGATCTTGCGGGGGAGTTGGGACGATCGGGAAACTTCGCACTGAAGAATACGATGGCGGTTGTTGAGGATGAGCCGATGGCTGGGGCGGCTGGAAGGAGGACGATTGGGTTGCGAAAGGTGAAGGATCTGGAGACGCGGTTTGGGATCGGGATCGTGCCTGCAAGGTATTTAATCGTCTCGTCCGTAGTAGCTGCTCGAACTGTTTTGTGAGTTCGCCAGCATCGATCGGGGGTTGGTGAGCGGAGGGGCCTCGCGTGGCCCGTTGATGATGATGATCTGCCATGACAGCAGAACGACCGGGCTGGCAGTCAGCAGGAACGACTCTCGGCACCGATCACCACAGTGAAATGTCTTCTCCTTGCTGTGGCTGATATGGATGGAGATGGGGTATCGGACGAAAAAGGCCGGCGGGATTGGGAACAGCGGCCTCGTCGAGTAGTTTGAGGGTGGAAAGTCCGGTTTGGGAGGATGTACGTTCACGATGAGTGATGATGCAGACGGTCGAGGTGGAACAAACTGGACGATGAGCGGGCGTCGTCGGGTTGCGAATTAATAGGTCTGGGGATGCGCAGTCGCAAGTCAGGATGCACAGCCAACGTGCAAAGCGGCGCTAGTGTAATATTAGAGAAAGTGAAAGAGGAGTTGAAATGGGAATAAAAGGCATATAAGAGAAGAGAGAGCGACAAGAATTAGAGATGATCGAAATAGAGGATGTCTTCCAGGCAGATGCAAAGGAAGAGAGAGGGATTGGCGACGTGGACGACAGCGAGGCTGCTTTGGGGGGACGAGGGAAGGGTTCGTTGCGAGGAGGGAGGTTGACGTTTGACCATACGAATGATCATGGCTCGATCTTACGGGCAATGATACCGTTCCAGGCGTACCCTCTGCTTGTTCCAGGAGGCAAAAATACGCAACGGAGGGCTAGCTAGAACATGCCAAGCCCGTCTGAAAGTGGAATACCACCGCCAAGCTGTCAGTCCGTCACGGCTTTACACCGCAAAGCGCACTGTGCCCTGCGGCCACCTGGGGGCATCTGTACCGAGTAATACGGCAGATAAAAAACCAGTTGTTGCGTAAGAAAACGGCGGGAGTGACGAATCCCCCAAAGACGCTAAAACAAATCAGGAAAGGCAATTGCGTGAGGGCTTGGCGGTGCGTCGTCAGCCTTTTTGTCATCCTCTTCGCTTCTCCCGCCAATCACGCCGCGCCGCCCCAGGGCGATCATCTCCAGCGGTCTTGTTTGGCCGCGACATCACACGGTGTACACGACAGAGGACTATCAACGATGGCAACGCGCTGGGATGAACTCCACGCGGCTATTGAAGCAACGCAAGGCCCTAATGGATAATCCTGTCTTTCTCCGTCACTAGATAGCAACGTGTAGCTCACCGAGTATTGACAACGACCGGGCGTTCCGTTTTGACTACGTGCCCAATGGCGAATTCTCGGCGGCTGGTGGTACCGTGATGTCCCAGTATGCAGATATTGTCCCCGCGGGCCCGCGCACATGGGATGTGATATCCAACATACTGCACATTACTACGCGCTGTGTCCCGTTTAGTTTTTTGGTGCGTGCCATTTACCCCCCAAGGGTTCAAGCATCTCGTCGCTTCTCGACCTCTCGAGGCTCGCGCGGCTGCTAAACGAAAACCTAGTGTTCCCTCTGGTAAAAGTGGAGAATATTGCGCAGGATCTTTCCTTGCCTCTCCTTTGATCGTCAAGCTTGCGAATGCCTTGTTCAATACAGATTTGCAGAGATTAGCTGCCCTCTCTTCTACAACAAGCGTAGGTGGGATTCCATGAGAGGGCGAGATGTTGCATCATGCATTGGAAGATCCTGCTGGGAAAGACCGGGTGGCTCGAAAAGAGGTCAAGTCAACTTTTCTTGCCGCCTGCTGATCAGCGTGTTGATTCACCTCGGACGAAAACGTGCTTTCTGTTTCGCAGGAACACCACAACCCGTGAATTTGAGAATGTTGCTCAAGGGAGAGAAGAGCCTGTCAAGTACGGAGTATGAAACGGCGGAATACACATGGAGTTCGCTCCATCTCAAGTCGGAAAATTACACAGAGCCGCGATTACGTGGCTCCGTTCGCACGCTCATTGGTGATCGCTGTGGGAAGAACGGCGGGCTATTCCTGTTTGGAGATGGCCTGCCGCTCACTGTCTGCAAGCCCATGCACGACATTCCTTGCCAGAGCTTGAATCGCAAAGGCCTGGAATCAAACAAGTTTTCAAAGCGCTGTCTTTGCTTGAATGAGGACCAGATTTTGGATCTGTATCTTTGGCTGGATCCAGCTTACTTTATGATAACTTTCCTGCGTAACTACATCAGTGCCCAAAACTTGACTTTAATTCCTTGCTAGAAAGCCAACAGTTGCAAATCTTCAACACCGCCATCCAACTCAGAGCGTGCACAGTCTCAAAGATTGCCTAGCTTACGTCGGCGCTCGAAACCGTTATCCCAACACCCAAGTCTACCATCCTTGGTTAGCTACCAAACAAAGCCAGAAGACGCAAACATTTATACACTTGGAGGTGTTTCTTTCAATTTAATTGACAGGGCTCACGCTGACATCATCTTTTGATTCGTGTCAATAGTTAATGAAGAGCACAGGACCGCAGTTCCCCTCGCCAGCTCTAAAACGCTTCCACCACACTGCTTGCCCTCAGTGTTTTCCATTTCCGATGTGACCCCGAATCTGCGCCGGAAACAAACAGTTTTCCACCCCCGGCTACTTTCTTCAACGGGCACCCCACATTGAAGGCCCCCGCAGAGGTAATCTGATCTCTCGATCAAATTTTGACAGATATTACAAATAGATTGCGTTGTCGGGCACACGCGGCCTTTTCCTTTTGCCCCTTCAAATACATGCGCCGCCGACTCCGGACTTTTTTTGCTGCCTGCCCGCCCTTGACGGAAAGAAAAGGGAAAAAAAGGAGAAGCGGAGGCAATATGTCCCCATGCAATCACGTTGACGCTTCTCTCCTACTAACCCAATTATTAATGTGACATGCGACCACTGCATATCCCATGTGGCGCCTGGCCAAAGGAAGGATACTGGCAACTGGAAAATACTCCCGTATAAAGTTCCGCGTTTAGGCCGTATTTTAAGAGCTGACGTGTCGTCAGGCCAACAAGGTTCAACATATATATATATTGCCTCGTGAGTGGTGTTGCTTATCTTCTCGCGGGGTTGATGGCAAGGGGTGGGAATAAATCTCTGCTGTTTGCGGTGTGGGAAAGGCCTCAAAACCACCACCAGCGTTGTATCATGAGACGATTTGGGCGAGATGCGCTTGGAAGGGCTAAGAATAAGTTAAAAGTTGAGGAGCAGTCTTTCAATTGGCATGTACAGTACATAGATGCTTAGTAGTCAGATACTGCTTTCATTTCACTATTGAACGTTCCTAGCCTACACGCCTCCCTCAATCTTCCCATAGAGCATACCGCATGTATCTCATGCTTATTTTAAAAGACATCTTCGCTTCCTTGATTTAGCTGTGACTAAACACCCCATCAATCACAACTTCAAAGAGAAAAAAGACATAGACACCTTACAACACCGCAAAGGCAGAAACGTAGCTGACAGAGCTGTCCACGACCGAAACACAGTTCGAGCTCCTCTCATATCGGACGAAGTTGAATGCTCCCCGCATCAAATGAGTCTGAGTCTCATCCGCCGCTTTGATCTCCAAATCCCTAATATTTTCCTTATCCTTCCCCAGAACAAACTCAAAGGCTGACATAATAAGCCCAATTGGGTGTCTTCCGCAGATGGTATTCCCTGTAGACTTGATCGCGTCTAAAAAGGTCTGCTTGTGGCCTGACGCAATGGCAGACATGCATGCGATATCACAGGCGGAGATACTTTCATAAATAGCCGGAACATCCGCATGCTTTGGCAACTGGTCACCCGCACGCAGATAACGACCGCTGGAAACGGCAGTGATTTGGCGTCTGGCCGATCCGAGCTTCAACGCCTCTGACGGTTGGGGCAACGCGTCATACGACAGGGGCAGCACAGGCCCTGGAGAGGGGACGTCGTCGATATAATACGCGTACGCAAACCGGAGGCCCCAGTGGCAGAAATCCGAGGAGATGATAAAAGCATTCTCTGGGTTCGCCAAGTATGGGGCCAGGATCCTTCCAAAGGCCTGCTCTGTGGGAGCGGACGTGCTTCCGACCATCATGGGCACAAGTTTAGGATAAGACGCCGCTGGTTCGTCCGGGTATAGACGCTGCAAGAGATAGTGAATGTATGGGAGATGGAGTTCTAGGCTATGCTCGGCCTCATCAATGGCTTGGCTCATGGTGCAAAAGCGAACATGGCCATTTTCGGCCCGGTTCAACAATTCTGCAATTACCTCTTTATCAAGTGGCAGTGGGTCTGGTGAGAGGGGGGTGGAGTAGGAAGACACCTCCGGCAGGGCGATCTTGGAGAAAGGATGATGGTGAGAAGGCCCGATCAGGAAAATGCGTTTGCTAGATAATCCCAAAAGTTAGTATGAATTTATCAAATAAGTTGAATCGCAACATACGCCTTGGATAAATCGAGACACTTATAGGCGAAAGCTGCACATCGCCCAGAATAGGCAAATCCAGCATGGCTAGGCAAACATTAGTGATCAGCAACACACTTTCAAAGTAACCGTCAGATTCAACAAGCTTACGGAGCAATAATGACCCTAGCACCAGCAACCGGCAAGCTTCCAATACCTTCGATCTCGTTTGGCACCCTGCCCATCCACTCGTCGAGCTGACGGGTCAAGGTCGCCGCGTCGTCAGAGTACCATGAGCCTGAATGGGCAGCTTCTCGACAAGCCATCGTTTTGTCAATCGAGATAGATGGCGTTTCAGGAGTAATGCTGGTTGGTTAGTGCAGTATGGGGAGGATAAGAGTCCGTGTTAAGTTGGAGGAACTGGGAAGCTCCTCTGCCACTTCTACCAACTTTATTGGGTGGAGTCGTTGGCGGGGTAAGCACTGGGCAGACGAGGTCGAGTCGGCATGCCGGGACTAGTGCACTCGTTTCGGCATGCCGAAAATAGGGAGCGAGAGCACCCACTATCAGCGGAATATTAGGCCATATGTTGGTGGCTGGGATTGACCGATCATGCAACACCCCGCGATAGAGCTAGTGTATCCCCTCTTCTCCCGGAGAGCCCTTCAGATAGCGTTTCTGATTGCGGGATCATCTGAACCTTTTTATGCCCAGCAAATCGAGTGCCAAGGCGGAGAAAACACCACGTGACATCGCGCGATCACAAATACCAATACCGTAATTTACACGCCAGGGGGTGCCGTCGTCCAATGGAAAATAGGCCGATGGGCGTGGTTGACGCCCATTTGTACCGTCGCGTTCAAGACGCGGGCAAGAACGCAGCGTTGCCCGTCGCGCAGTTCCTCTTGTCTGCCTCCAACATACCCTCAACCACGACTGCAATTGCATCAATATACCCATATTCCAGTATTGTCATTCCGTATATCTCGAATTTACAGCTGCTCTTCTTTTTTGGCGAACGACCCATCAACGACGATGTCGTTAAAACGAAAGGCTTCATTCACGACTATCACTTCTCCTCGGCCGGTGTCGACATATAATAATCCCACATCTCCCATTTCCTGCTTGCTTGGAAATGTTATAACAATGGACGAAACCCCCAGACACTTGAACAGCCGAACACGGAAGCGTTTCAAGCAGGACCGTCCTGATGAACAATCTATATATGGTATGTGGTCTTTCAACAACACGGAGACTTTTCACCTAAACAGCACGCTCACGGCTCGTTTCTAGACAAAACCATTCGCTGGCTATTTTCAGCACAGAAAAAGCTGTATCATCAGGAAGAGGAATCCACACCGGCTACGGCCAACGATGAAACTCTCGTCGACGTACCCCCTTCCTCCCTCCCTGATCCCAATCAACGAACACTGCGGAGTTTCTTCCAGCCGGTCCGACATTCCTCTTACGTGCCTTCAAACGGCTTTCCGAACAACCCATCAACGCAAAGCTTTGCTTCGCAGACGAGTAAATCCAACCCCGGAGCTCAGGTTGATTTGAGCCTCCATAACGTCAGCTCGAGCGTTATGGACATCGATATGGACGTATCTATGGAAAAGGACTCTGGTAGCAATTCCACTGTGTCTACTCCAGGGGGAAACAAGAGATGGGTTGGAGGGCTTGGGTGGATGTGGGATGCTTGACTTGCAATTTCAGGTCATCATTTCCACGCGAGCCTCCCTTTCTATGGCGTTTTGGTGATGTTTTTAGCGGAATTGTCGTTTTGTTGCTGTTTTGGTTTTCCGCCGAGGCAGAATCCTGATGTTGTTCCTGTGCGAATGGTAGCCAAACACAGCTTGTTGGCTTTGCTCGCATATGTGACGCCTTTGCTAGGTTTTATGGCCTGTTGATCCTTCCGTCAGTTTCCGGGCGCTATACCCCCTAGTTTTGCCGTGTGCTTGCCGCATATATGCAAGCGACCTGCGAGGACTTTTTTCGGAAAAGGGGCGATGAAAGGAAGTCTAGAGTCATCGTTGTATAATAGGAATAGAATTGTATTTCGCAGAATTGCCTGAGGACTTGAGCTGCTCGTCTTGACTGCTTTCATCATGACGACATGGCTGAAACGGAGGCTTGGCAGTCGGACAGTGTTTCAATCGATGAAAGACTTCATCGGCCAGTCCTTTGGCGTCTGTAATTCGAGATCCCTTTTGCAGATAGAAATCCAGACTGACTTCTCTTCATTCCCCGCCACCTCAATGCGTCGAGCAGTCAAGCAGACGAGGGTTCGGATGCCACAATTCCCCCGGGCTAAAGTTTAGTTAGCTAAACTCAAGTTTTAACACCAGTCCCTGAGATGAACCTCAACTAAGCTCCTGATTTTCGCAACGGCCGGCTTTCCCAAATCGCGGGGAACTGTTCTGCATTCTGCGCTGCTGGCCTTTTGGCTGATGCGGTAACGGACGATTTTCTAATTTCCACGTCAAACAATCCGCTTGCCTTAACTACGCTCTAAGTCTTGGACCGATCATGACCACACCGCAAACCGCATGAGACAAACGAGGGAAAAGACGACATTGCTGGCAATAGCCTCTGATATTCTTTCCGCAAGAACTCGGATATTTTTCGCCCTATTCACATGCGCCAGAGAGACCTCACCCTCCGCGCACAATGCCCAGTAGCAACTTTGAAAAGTCCGTCAAGGGCGCGACAAAACAGAAGGTTAGTGGGATCACCCGCCCCGTCCTCACATATCGATTCAGTGAGCGGTGCTGATATCCCGAGCTTTTGACGGTATAGCTTGCGGCGCCCAAGTCGAAGTACATCGAGCATATCCTCACCGCCACGTACAGCGATGCTGGAGTAGCGGAAATCTTTCGAGCCTTATCCCTCCGCCTGCGGGACTCGGCGTGGACCATCGTCTTCAAAGCTCTTATCGTGATACATATGATGATACGGGAAGGGTCGCCTGGCGCAGCGCTAAAATATCTTTCGCAGCATCCGCGAAACATTGCTATCACTAGTGTTTCTGATGGTTGGTAAATTTCTTTAAGCAGGGGAAATACAATCATTTCCTGAATATGCGCGGATGGCTGTGATTATAGAGCGAATGAACTGACATTGGCCTATCTAGCACAAATCCAAGGCGGCAATATTTGGCGATACTCCGAATACCTCATCGCACGCTCCTTAGCCTTCTCGGATACGAAAACCGACTACGTTCGCAATGGCCAAGGGAAACTGAAGAAATTAACGGTAGAGAAGGGGCTGTTGAGAGAGACGGAAATCGTCCAAAAGCAGATAAGAGCGCTTTTAAAATGCGACGTACGCTCAGTCCCGCTTCAGAAGTCCAGAAGGTGTTGCTAACCCCCTAATTTACTAACAGCTCTTGAGCGACGAACCGGAGAATGAAATATCTCTAACAGCATTCCGCTTGATTACCCTCGATTTATTGACCTTATATTCCGTTATGAACGAGGGGACGATCAACGTGCTAGGTTGGTGACCCACGACTGAGCTGACTATCGCAAACCACTTACCATTACCATAGAGCATTATTTCGAAATGTCCCGGCCCGATAGCGAGCGCGCTCTCCGTGTGTACAAGACATTCAGCGCTCTAACAGAAGACGTAGTCAAGTTTTTGCGGATGGCCAGGCAATTCGAAAGCGCAACCCGTCTCGAAATCCCCAACTTGAAACATGCCTCGACTGACCTTACAAAACTGTTGGAAGATGACTTGAACGATCCAGATTTCGCAACTAGGCGTAAAGAATACCGTGCTCAGAAGTATGGCACGAAAGAAAGTCAAGGCGATCAGAAAAAGGCTACTCCGAGCCAACCTGCCAGAGCGCAACTAGCCATGCCAAACACACTACCTCAGCAAGCTAAAGCGCCTGCGCCCGATTTAATTGATTTTTTCGATTCTATAGATCAGCCAGTGAATCAGCAAGCCCCAGGGCCGCAATTTAACACGCAAAACCAGCAAATGCAGCTATTTCAAACACCTGGTTTTCCCCAGCAGCAAATGGCGTTTGCTCCACAGCAACCAGGCCTTCAGCAAACTGCGACTACGGGATACGGATTTCAGCAACAGGCTCCGTCCATCAATCCGGTAGCGCAGGATAGCAATCCATTTGCCCAATTTGCAGCTCAGCCTCAGCAACAGCAACAGCCACAACAAATCCAGCCAAACCATACTGGTGCTGGCTTTGGAGGATACACTCCACAGCTCCAGCCACAAGCTCCAGCTCAATCTCATCCTAACAACTTTCAGCCGATGTTATCAAGCATCCCTCAGAACGGAGTCCCTTCGTTTCAGCAACCGCTGCAGACCGGCTCACCACGACCAAATAACCCCTTCAGACAATCAATGCTCATCGCTAACAATTCTCCTTCCTCCACCTCGTCACCCATCAATCCGAATTCCCCACCTGCTGCTTCTCCTTTAGTTCGTCAACCCACGAACCCTTTTGCCAAACATCGCCTCTCCCAAATGCCCTTCCAAGGCGGAGAAATTTCGCGACCATCCACCTCACCAGGCTTGCAGTCCTCAGATCAATCCCAGCTACAACCGCTACGGCCCCAGCGAACGGGGACCAATCCATTTGCCAGGAACACACCATCACCAAATCAAGGTCTACAGGTCCCTCCTGCGGCTCCATTACGGCCTAACCCAACTGGAAGCACCAACCCGTTCCGCCAGAGCGCATTTATCAACCAGCAAACAGGCCAAGCATGGCAGACCAGTGCATCGCAGGGGACAATGGGTGGTCTTGAGAATCTCCAAACGATCCCTATTTTCCCAAGGCCAGGCCAGACGACCTAGTCCAACTATCCCTCTACCTCTTCTTTTTTTTTCAAAAATTCTCAGTTCTAATTGATTTGTGTAGTCGCTGGATTGGACCTGATGTCTGCCACGTCGATTCGTCCAGGTGACTAGTCTCATTTCTAAACCTGACTATTCTTCCACTTCTTTTTACCCTACTTGATGGTTCTCTCTGGTTTCAGCGGACTGGTTGCATGTTTGTCTTTGATGCTACTAGATGGTCTTTGTTTGAAATTCAAGTTCAGTTTTTGCAAGGCATTTTGCATTTCCCTTTCGCTTGAAATCATGTTTCGCTTTTTTTTGTCTTAGTTAGCCAGCGAAGAGTTTCTCTTTCCATCCGTGCTTGAAAGAATGAATGTATATCGCCAGCCTAAGCCGCAGGAATGGGAATAGGGAGGGTAGAAACCATACTGCCTTTTTGCAATTGCCCACGGGAGCGAGACAGTATCAAGATGGAGAACCCAAGGACCATTCTTGTGCCAACTAGCAGCAGAGTCAGTGTCCTAGAGGTTGCACTTGTTAACAAGTACCCGGATTAAACGCCGCTTCTCAAAATAACAAAATCAAATCTGTTACATTTAAGTTGGAATAATTCATAGGCATTTTCACCTTATTGTGTGAAAAGGCGGTGCTTTCCAGAGCTCCACTGGAGAAATTCACATAACTACAATCTCAGAAAACCGGCTCCAAAGTCTGCCGGTACTGCCCTCTGCCTTTGTAGTGAATGTTCAACTATTTATTTCTGATAGGTTTTGGGTCCGCAACAGTATTGCAAGGGAATAAGTAAACCGGCTTGCTTCCTTGCATTTGAGTCGGATAATTACAGCATCAGATTAGGAAACAAACTTTAACGTCCATAGTCCTGCGTTCAGTATGGTTGAACGCTATGCCTATATATCTCACAAACACCCTTCTTGGGCTTCGCATTATTAAATCCAGGGTAGCTTAGGCAAATATAATACATTTTCAAACACCTCTATTAATTACTGTCTATACTAGTTGCTTACGACAGTCTTCGAAGACCGAAACTCCCACCCGGAAACCAAGAGAATAGATAATGGCTAATAGCCTCTCAAGAAATATCAACGCAATTGCACACTTTCCCGTACGGACTCGGACGCCCAGGTAAGGATATTGAGGCGGATAGGTCTAGACCAAGTCCCGTTCAGTTTTCGGACGCCCATAGTTGGCCCACGGCAAGGGCCCGAGAGGGTATCTGATAAAACTGTTTGCCTCGGTTGCAATTCCTGCGAGGGCATTATACCACGCCAGGAAAGCGGCAAGCAGCCCAAACAAACCACCAGCTTTGATAAGTGGTATGTTTTGTTGGCCCGGCGTGGGCTCTTGAAAATGGCCGATTACGAGCATGAGGAAGGCCAAGTCCAGGAACAGGAAGAGTGAAAAAAAGGCCCAAGTGGTCTTGATCGTCAAAAGAAGCATTATCGTGGTGAATATAAACCATCCCTGCCGATATTAAAAAAAAAAAAAGGAAAGGTCAGCTCCGCAGTTCCACGATAGGTGTAGGCGAAATGCTTCAATAGTTACATACCGTGAGCCAGAAACCAACAGTACTGTTTACACCCGACAGTCCATCCACTTTTGTGATACTCGACACGATCTCGAAACCGCCCGGAGTAAAGATAATCGCATAAGAGATCCAAAACCCACCGTACGATGATAACGCGGTAGCACCAAACGTGTTACCAACAGCCATCTCCCTTAATACCGCATTGTAAGTTAGTCTGTGCAAGCGCATATTGAGACTGATGGGCAAAGGAGCACATACCACATGCCTGCAAGCAGCTGAACGAGACCACCATACCCCAGGGCCGACGCGACGACAACGTTGGGAGCATGAGTACCTCGAGTTTGCATGTTGATAAGGCTAAGCACAAAAGTCGTGAGAGCAAAAGCGCACAAGCCGAGGGGTGCAGGATTGGCGAATTGGCGGGGAGCTGGGCCCTGGTACGCTTCGGGGTGAAACGAGCCGGCAAAAGACCTGAGTTGATGCGTGTTTCCTGGGGCCAATGGACCGTAACCATAGCGAGCTGCTGCTTCAGCTACCTCGCGCTCATCCTTGGACATGGTGTGGGTTCCATCGTCGCTGCTCATGGGTAACGATGACTTGGTGGCCGTATGATAGACAACGTCTTTCTCCGCTTCGGCAGGCATGTTTCGCTGTTCAAAAGAATTGGGGTATAAGTAGCGTAGAAAAAATAAAGAAAAGCTGTCTTGCTTTGAAGCGCTGCTTTTTTGTTTTCCGGGTTTTTGTAAATATGAGGACTAGGAATTGACACGATCCAAAATGCCTAGAAATACTCCTGAAAAAAAGGATTGAGAGATGTGAAAGAATAGAAGATAGGCCCGTTGTGATTATTGCAGCATTGACAGGCCGAGGGTTGTGAAAAAAAAAAGAACAGCAGCCTTTGTGTATTTGGGAAGGGGAAGAAGGGTTTATACGGTATCAGTTGCCGGATTGGAAGCAAGAGATATAGTGAAAGGATAACAAAACAGCTTGGCAGCAGTGAAGGAAGGAGAAGTGTGACAACTAGAGGAAACAAGCCCTTTGAAAGTGATAGTTCTCTCACAAAATATGACTGGATCGCTTTTCTTTGATCATTTGCAGTCTTTCATTATAAGGGATAAAATAAGCAGGAGGTCAGGCCGCAGTGTAGGAGCAAGTAGGATCACTTATTCAGCCAGCTAGCTTGTAGTTGATAGTTGTCAGGATGAGGGGATGCCGGCAGTACGTTATCTGCGGAGGGTCAAATACAAATCCTGAAAAGTGATCACCAACAGAGGCTGCAAGGGTCCCGGTCAAGAGCACATCCAACTCCCGGATACAGACTTCCTAGCAGCGGACATGGCGCCGTTAAACTGCTTCCCTCATTACCAAGTTAAGTCATAGATTCTCGATCACTCGACGTTTTGTGGGTCTATCGCGGGCGTCAGGCTCAGTATCTAGCCGTGCCAGTTTCCTCTGGGCGAGAGGGCTCCGTCCATCAACAGCTACTTGACGTTTCACGGAAGCATTTATCCCCGCAAAGCGGTCGGTGATGAAAAAAGACAGTTGGGAAAGCAATGGACGAGGATGACTGACGCCGATCATCCTGTAGCTGGGCCGGGAAGGACCACGGAACGTCGGATGTATTCTGCAGCAGAGAGGAAGCAAAAGCCAGTCTCGGTGCATTTTTGCCGGATTCTGGTGCCTAGGAAAATGGAATACCAGTTCCGTCCATTCCGTTTGCTTGTGGTTCCTACTTGTCTCAATCCAGTGAGACACGAGCGGAAGTGAGGGAGGCTCAGTCCTTCCAACCACATCTCAGATGGAAAGTCTTCTGAGAGCATCCGGGTAATTATGCGGAGAAAGGAAAGTCCGTGCCCAATATCGGCATCCTGAGGCTTTTGTCATTGACATCCAGACGGGCCCGATCACCGGCCGAATGTTCTGGCAGGAGCTGCTCAGTGTAACTCAGGAAGATCCATGACGGCCATGGCGGTGCGTGCGTATGTAGGTCTGGTTGCAGAATGCTTGAATGGCGGAAAGACCCTCAGCGCTACACTTCAATCCGTCCAATAAAATGGGCACGGGGAGTCGGGATGATATTTCGCCATCCATGTCGGTGGTACAGGGAACACACAAAAGCCAGGGAGGGTATCATGCGCATGCGACCGCCTATGCAGGAAGAGAGCGCAAAAATCCCAAAAGGGTTTCAAAAGGCGGATGTCGATGGACAAGGAGCGTTTCTTGATATCTTATATGGCTGTCCCGAGTAGGGGTCGGTGGAAGTCTTTTCAATGCAGGCATCTGCTATAAATCAGCCCTCTTTAGTTTCCTTAATAAGCTCATCACATGATTGGTTATATTCCAACGACTGATCGCAGTTAAAAAGGCCATCATCCTCCATCGACATGACTCGCCTCTGGGCCTTCGGGATCAATTGCCGCTTGTTTGATACAAGAATGCAAGCCGGGAGCTTGCTGCTTCCATGCACTCTTCTATGCTCGACTTGGCGGAGCACACTGGTCAGTACGCCCAACAGCCCCACGGAATGCACACCAGCTTCGTCTAATAACCCGCAGGCAGTTATTCCTGAGTTCATCACTTGACGCTTGTGGATGTATTCTGATCCGAAGCTCCTCAAGTACGGATGCCTACAGAGGCTGGGTCTGGACTGGCACAGCGCACAGCGCACAGAGAGCTTCAAAGGTTACCATCAACCCGTCGAGAGATTACCATTGCTTTAGCATGTAACATTCTTCCCGCATTTGACATCGTTAGAAGAGGCCTCGTTTGAATTGTTTCGGGGGTGTCAGGGCCATGTCACGTTTGCATATGCAGACCTTGGTTGAAACAACGATTTGGGGGGATGACAGCCGTTAATTTCATCTACAGGAGCATATCCCTCAAGACCCTTTCCATTTCGACATTTGGCTTGTTTTATTCTCACTCCTCTGGAAGCCCTATGGAGCTCAGAGGGGGAATTTACAATGACTGAGCGCATATCTCACCATGTTTTCTAGCTGGTGGTAACCTGTCGCCGCTCAGTCGGTCTATGGTGTATCCATGCGGATACGATCGACAATGGTATTCCTGTTTCTTGTTGCAGCCCTCGCCATTGCTAACTATTATACTGAACCTGGTCTGGAACGCTAGGGCCTTGATTTCCCCCAATTTCCCGGATACCACAGCAGGCAATATTGAGTTGCGAGGATAGCCAACTTCTCTTGGTAATCTCTTTCTCGTTGTTAAAGTAGGCTTGGCAATGTCGCACAATGAGTACGCGTTGCTGGGAGAATTGTTGTTGGGCAGTCGCTATCCCTTATGAGCATTGTTTGACAATGTTTGGTGACATTTCCACCAGGTCATCACCACCAAGGGCCGCGTGATCACTGATCACTCATGGAGAATAAAGAGGAACCTCAAAAAACAAGAATCCAGAGCGCGCATTCAAGATGCATCTATGTAAGTGATTAAGCATAAAATGTTCGATGAATCTACTTTCCATTATTTTGAATTTCACAGTTGGAGCGCAGTTGTTGCCAGCAGCAGGAAAGCCCTCCTGGACGCTTTTGGAGCGAGTTAACGGCGGAAGGGAAATTATATACCCGTTGCCAGTTATTTACAATGAAAGTTATTCTAATTCCATAGGTTGACTGACCTTGTCTGTGACACAATCAGGGTGTAAGGTATGCTTAATTTAGCCTTGGGTCCTGTTTTGCGACAGGCTTCTATAATCTATGTTCCACCCCCATGTCTTGCACCTAGAAGCGAGCGATCGGGTGAATTGTGCAACCTGGGTCCTGGTTTGACAAACTAATACTAATCAGCCATATCAACCCATTTCTGCTGTCCGACAACGCACAGACAACGCCATTTTGCACCCATATCACGTCTTTGCAAGCGGTGAGAGAATCCACGACGGAAAACCTTTTGAGATTATGCGGCTTGCCTACGTACGGAGTAGTCAATCTCTTCAACCCTAGCTGGTGCCACGGAGATGGTTGCAAGTCCGGAGTCATCATATTGTTGCTGTCCTATCTCGCGGCATAGGAGCAATTTTACAGCCCGAATGATGGGAAGGCACATTGCCGAATGTGTCTTTGACATAGGTATGTTCGATTCACGTTCTGCCATTACCTGTTTATGGACAAATCCAGTTGCAACTACGACTATCGATCCCACACAGTCAGTTAAATTTTTCCCAAGCAAAATTCAAAATCGCTATCGGCCACGGAATGCTCAATCCCCCCCCTCAAATTCCAAGTTGGCTTATTCAATAAATTGCTATTGCTTGTGGCCTCTCTATTACTTAATAATCATAGAGTTGTTTCTGCGGCGGGACGTCTCCTTTTTGGATATATTTCTTAAAGTACCATGGCAACATGGCACGATAATGGTTGATATGTGCTGTTGTCGGGACGGAAAAGACCTGATCCAATTCTTCAAGTGACAGCGCCTTTGTTTCTGGCAGGCAGAAATAGCAAAAGACCCATCCGAATAGGTTCCACGCAGCATACCACCCGAATGCTCCTTGGGGCTTGAAGGAGTCGACCAGAGCGGGCCAGGTGAGAGAGATAACAAAGTTGAAACCCCAGGTGGTAGCTGTTGCGAATGACATTCCAATATCGCGGATATACAGGGGCTAGGCAGAATTCATTTCAGCACAGGCTCCTCCCTGGGGAAGCAGAAACAGGGTAACTTACGAATGCTTCAGCTGAATAAGTGAATGGCACAGGGCCTTCTCCAGGCGAATATACGATCATGAACAGGTAAATTCCTGTCGCAACGCAGGCAGTTCGTGACTGCAAGTCTGGGATCCAGAAGGAAAATCCTGTAAATAACAGGAAAAGCGACATCAGAGGAAAAGTGGTTAGGAGCAGATTTCGGCGGCCAAAGGTATCGATGGTGTACACAGCAGGCAACGCAAATATCCAGTTGGTGATGCCGCAGCCCAAGGACGTAATAAGAGCGTCGCGTCGCGAAAAGCCCGCGGTTCTGAACATCGACGAGGAGTAGTACATGATGGCGTTCACACCACAAAACTGATTCAGTTGCAGGCCGCGTTAGCAAATGAATTGAAGGACTGGATCGACACTTACTTGTTGCATGAACATGACGAAGAAGGACGACTGCGCAGCTCGTCTATTCCTCGAAATGCCGAACATTTCACGCCAGAGCCGTTTACCCTCGCGAAGTTTTTGTTCTATTCTCAGCGAAGCGTGGATATAATACAAATCTCTAGCAGCTTGAAGTGGAGAAGGTCGAAGTTTGCAAAGTGCGTCGTAAGCGCTTTGGTACCGATCTCGCATCATGTACCATCGTGGAGATTCGGGGCACAGATATACTTGGATGCAGACGAAAAATGGGCTGTTGGAACAAAAGGTCAGCGGCCCAGCAATCCTGATCATCCGCTGGCACTTACGGAATTGCCGTGGAGGCCAACATTAATCTCCAGTTAAAGCCGGGAATCCCAGAAACCTTTACGTCCATGAAAGCAACAGATGCGATGTAGCCCAGCATAATGCCAAACGCAGTCCACATCTGCCACATCATGACGAGAGCTCCACGAATATTCGCTGGAGCGCATTCCGCTCCGTACACAGGTGTGGTTGTGGATTTCGCGCCAACCGCAAAGCCTAGCAAGAAACGAGCAAGGAGAAGGTTCCACCAAGTGTGCGCCGCGGCCATCCAGAACGAGCTTGCAAAAGAGATAAGACATGAGATAAAAATGCATCCACGGCGACCGAACCAGCGGTTTAGAGGCGCTGTCGTCCAGCAACCGATCACCGCAGAGCAAAGATATGGCGCCCCGTTAAGCAGGCCTTGTTGCCAGACGTTTGTGACGTTGAACTCTGCGAAATAGAACCTATAGCGGTATTTTAGATCATGCCCTTAACCCCCTGGATTTTGGAACTTACTCCTGGGCACCATTTACTGCGGTTTGATCCATACCTTGGACGATGGCAGAGCCGGCACAAAGAACTGGAAAATTTGTCAATTCTTCACCCCATTTGGCACACGCAGGGGACGTCCACTGACTAGTCATGAAATACATCATGAAGGGTTGATGCCATCTGTGCGTTTTCTCCCGACGGAGCAGTTCTCTTTCTGTTTCCGATAGATCATCCAACTGCTCAAACGACTTTGGGTCCTGCGAGATCAGAGCGCCGTTTTTCAGATCGTCGAGGATATCAGTCAGCCCCTTTTCAATGGCGAACTCCTCGACATCGCGGAGCAGTTCTTCTCTGGTCAAATCAGATAACGGATTTCGGAGTTTGTTATTGACCTTCCTTGTCTCTTTCCCCTCGTTGACCCAGCCCCGTGCGGTTTCTTCTCTGATAGCTTCTTGTTTCGCAATAGAAGAACTTGCGGAAGGACTCGAGCTTCGGCCATTGAAAGCAACCGAAACCTCTGGATCGTTCGGCTTGTCCTCCATGATTAACCCGTTTAGAGTGGATTTCAAGGGATTCCGGAGTTGGAGGTGGATTCAATGCCTTCGAGAAAATCAGGGAGAAGGAGACAAACGGGACAGTGGAGCTAAATATATGTTTTCTGGACAGTGCTGATCGCCAACGATTCGGACAATTCACTCCATACTTGGTCCCGGTCCCAGTGTCTCGTTTTTTTGTCTTCTCCACATCCCACAGGAGCAATTTGAGCTCGGACGACATGGCGTGCGTTTTGTGTAGTACCAAGGATCTCCACCATGAATGACTCGTGCATCCACCCCATATTGGGTTGGTTGAAATTGACGGCCATCTATCAGCCGCATCGCTCCCTGTTCCATGGCATTGCGTCATGACAAGAAGCGATGGCCATGCTAATGTGAGTGCGTGGGAAACCGTGGTAGTACAAAGAACAAAGCAGATTGTTTAGGAACCTTTGCTCTTCTCCACCACCGAGCCATTTTTCTTCGAGAAAACTGGGGCTACCTTCGCCAGCACAAGGGGATGCGGGAGAGGTCGAATGGGATTAAAAAGCACTGCTTTTTTCCCAAAGGCGGATATTTAAGTCAACAAAAGCCCGCGCGTGATGGGAACGGGGAAAGGCCCAAGTGGCAAAGCGGAACCCGCTGGAGCCTCTCAAGCCGGCGGAACTAGCTTGGCGCCTAGACTGATCGGCGGAGTGGGAAGCCGCCAAGATTCTCCTCCGGAATGGCGGTGCGGGGATGGATAGGATTTGTTGGACCCGGTTGTGTTGTCACCGGGATAAATATCAAGGGCAAGTAGGGTGAGCAGGTGGGCTAGATTTAAGAAAACAACTGTTTACTGTTGAAGTGATCCAGTTTTATATCTGAAGCTTCTCTGAGCTCTGAAATTCTCATTCCAGTTCTAGTCACAAGAGACAGATCTGAGATGATGAGATAGATTCTCTTTAATCTTGATAGTGGATAATTGGTAATGAATCAAGTTATCTGACTGTGCCATCAGAAATAATCTCATTTTCTTAGATCAGTCTGTTTTTCATAAGGGAACTCTCAAGAACTTTTTCATTGCATTCCACAAGACATATGAGATTGTTCATCAAGTTGCAAATAACAAACATTCTTATCCTCCAGTGCCAGAGGGAACATACTAATAATAGCTAGGGGGGTACTCCGTACTGGGGGTTAATTGGGAACCCATAGGGAAGCTCAAGGCTTGAGCTCACCAGGTTCTTAACACAAGGTCGCTGGGTTGTTATCTGGTATCACCAGGCAGGTCTACCATTTATTACGAGTTATTCCTACAGGCTACTGGCATGGTTCTGATATCTAAGGGTTCCCAATTAACCCCCTGACCCAACTAGTATCCTCCTAGGTGCTACCAGTATGTTCCAGCACAACTGCCTGGTGAGCTTCTGCCTGGTGAGCTTCTGCCTGTTGACCCGCTGACGTATAAATTCGCATTTCAATTTATTTTTGTTAGATATAAACCTTCAAAGCACTGAGCCCGAATGAGCCTTCTCTAGCAGAAGCATCATCCTCTTGCTAAAATCCATCATGGGGCAGACTTCCCTACCTCCTCAACCCCCCGCACCCTACTATCCTCTAAAGGATGATCCTAATGATCCCGGGCCGGGCTGGTGGTTTAAAGGTCTGAGTGGTGAGGAATGTGAGCGAGTAACGCTATATCAGCATGCCCTGCTTTGCCCCATTATCATTGGTGATATACTATCTGGCCCAGACCTGCTATCAAAAGACAGCAAGCAATGCTCTTTCAAGATCATCGGGAAACTTGGTTATGGCTCATACTCTACTGTTTGGCTTGGCCAGGATCTGTAACTACGTCCATTGTCCTCGCATCGCAGCTTTTTGCTAATGAATGGCCAATGCTAGATATGGCGAGCGCTGTCTTGTTATAAAGGTGCTCCGATTCGAAGTGAGCACGTTGGATAATTCAGAGATGAGGATTTTAAGGAAACTGGGGAAGCTTAGGGTCGCCTTTTTCCAGCAGCACAATGATCGAAAGTATTTATGTCTTGGATTGGATCCCCTTGGACCTTCTCTTCGGATTCGAATGGAAACGGATATTCAACTTCCCTCAAATCTCGCCACCATCTTACAATCTATGGAGATCCTTGCGAAGAAAGTATCTGCGCTTCATCAACAAAGGATATGCCATGGAGGTAGGTATATGTGAACTACTTTTCCGCTCTTTAACCCTCCATAAACGCTGATCGTTCTAGATATCAGCCACTGTAACGTCGCTTTCGACTTGCATAACGACGCCTTTACCGATGAGGCTCTTAAAATATCTTTCCAAGATGACACAAGGTTTCGTTTTGTGTTTACAGGCTCGGCTGAAGAGCCTGCACTCCCTCCAGGATTGCCGAAATATATAATTTCAAATGGTTATACGGCGCTGTTAGGCGATGGAACAGATCTGTCGAAAATTGAGTTACTAGACTTCGGCAAGGGTGAGTGAAACTGGCACATTTGCTGAAGGTGTCCGGTCTCTAATTTTTGCATAACAGCATTCGAGGGCTTCTCAAAGGATAATGCCCTTGGCACAGAGCCATATCTTGCACTGGAGATGCATGGTGAGACTGGGGGCCATGCGTCGGATAAATCTGATATCTGGAGCTTGGGATGCGTGGTATGATTCCTCCGAGAGTGTCGCAGTTAATCTGGAAGTGGTTTTCTGCTCTAACACATTTTATATAGCTTTGCTATGCTTTGACGGACTTCTACTTTCTTGAGCGCAAGGAGTTTCAGATTAAATATTCTGGTATAGCACTCAGTTTATCCTTAAATTTCTAAAAAGGCGAGCACGCCGCAGTGAAATATTGCTGACACTTACTATCCAGAGTCTACCGATAGCGATCAGATAAAAACAATCGACAAGCATCTAGAATGGAATCCTTATCTAAAGGAGCACCCGCGTGATCGCAACAGCATTGCCCAGGTAATTCATGGCCTGATTCGACCTGATCCTTCCCAGCGGGATCTGGAGAAGACCCTCAGATCAATTCAACAACTTCAAAGAGAAATTTGATATCAGGGATTGGAGGATGAGAACTAATAGGGGAGGTTATGCGTGTGTGATACTTTTTTTTTTTTTCATTTTTGGCTTGACGATTTTAAAAGTGCGGAGTACGGCATCGCACTCTTCCCTCGCGCCCTCACAGTGTCTCCGAGAGAAGCGCATTCCCTCCTATTCAATACTCTAGCACCCAAGACCATCACCCAACGCATGGGACCTTCAAGACCGTATAAGTCGATTAGAGGCATATTAGGAACTAAAAAGAGCCCGTTCCTCCCTGATAAATACCTTATAAAGGTGATTTCGCTCCATGTCTGGGTGTTATCGAAAACGAAAAAAAGATCTAGAGGGCTGACCCGGATTTGAACCAGGGACCTTAGGATCTGCAATCCCACGCGCTAACCACTGAGCCACCAGCCCTATCGTGTGCTTGGCTTGAGCTTGCTTAAACCCTATTTGAGCTAGCTAGCTTTCTCAGGTAAGGTATCTTGCCCAGTCAACCTAAAACGTCGACGGAAGGATTCGATTGACTCAACGGCAGGGTTCTTGTCGCCGCTGATGGAATCCTGCCTGTTGTACCTGAGTTGCAGCGGCGAGTGTCGCATTCTTCTTTCATGGAACACGGTGATGAAGGGTCCCATTCGAAATGCTTCCTCCTAGTAAATGGTCTTTTGAGGGAGGAGAGAGGAATACGAGGGCCTGAATCATAACATGCTCACGATGCTGTCAACCCTGCTATTCTTTTCTTTAAACCACAGAAAGGATCAAGTAACGAGATAGGAGCTTTCATTATCCTACTTCTCTAAGAGAGCTGCAGAATTCTCGAGCTGACTATTGAAGTGCTTGATCTGGTACAAAAGCCCTCCCTGCGAATCTGGTGCTATGGAACTGACATTTCGACCAACCATACGAAGCAGAAATTCCAGGCCTGCAAATGGACTCGTGTTTGACGGTTCTGCTCGTTTGTGACTTCGCTCAAGAGCGAGCTGAAGATCGTGCAGAGAGTTATTAAGCGAATCACGTTCCTATAGAATGATTAGTGTCCACAAATTTGTTTCCCGTATATCAGAGGAGTCGCCAGGCATACCGTTCTCGCACTTTCATCGTCAGCATACTTGCTCCGTACATCATCAATCCGTAGCGCAACATCTTCTCTCTCTTTTCGTAAAGAAATCAATTGATGCCTCAAGCTGAGCATCTCCTTCTTCTCCCTTTTCACGCGCGCTGCTAAAACGAAATTACTCTCCAGAAGCTCACTTATTCCAAATAATGAGTTTTCTAATTCTGACCCGAACTCCTGCACAACTTTACACTTTCGTTTCCATTCACTGGCGCGACCAACATTCGACTCTTGTTCGATGTTTTTTTGTAGAGTAGAGAGTGTCTTTTCAAGAGTTTCCTGACATATTTGATTCAGCACATCCGCAGCGTTGATACCGCCGCGGGTTGAGTGTTTCTGTCTGCTTTGAGCCTTATCGGGCACTGCCTGTTCAGTATCAGAGATATCGGAGCCCTCCGATACGTTTTCGAGAGCAGAAATATTGCAGAGACGGTGAACTGTAACAGGGATAGTGCTTCGACTTGAGCCCCTTACTTCTTCAGATGCGTCTCCAAGAGATTTAGAAGCCGCGCGCCTCCGATTTCTGCGGCTGGGTCTGGGCTTCTCCAGTTGCGTTGTCTCTGGTTGTTCAGGCTGCAAGACTTCGGACTCCACACGATTCGGTGAAACAGTTTCTTCATTTGTGACTTCATTTATGGCCGGTTTTCTTCTCTTGTTCTTCTGCCCGCCTGTTTCTGCTTGACGCGCTGATTTCGTTCTGGGCCTCTTTTGCTTAGCCCCAGCTTGTAAATCGTCGTCATTTTCCAGCTCGCCTTGTTCTACGTTTTCAACGTTCGGTAGTTCAAAATTTGTCGAAGCGTCGTTTTCCTTCTCTTCCTGTTGTGAATACGTCCCTCCTACTTCCGGTTGGACGCCTGTAGGGTTTTCACGGGGAGACAAGTGCGCTCGCGGGGATATTTTAGATTTTGATCGCGGTTCTGAAAGTTGCCTTTGACCAATGAAGGTTGCCACAGGTTCTTCGGTCTCGAGAACTTCCCTAGGTTCCTCTACATTGGCACGAATACGTGGCTTTTGTTGCTTTTTGGGGAGGATTCGAACAGACTTCCGCTTCTTCCTCTTCCGTGGCGAAGGGTTGGCATGCTGCTTTTGAAAGTCCTCTTTGCTGAGTCCATCGTGGTGTGCAGCTAGCGTAATCCTTTGGGGATTTTGAGCCGGTGATAGAACAACCGAGGGCAATTGCACTTCATTTGGCCGTTGTTCATCCGATTGTAAAAGATTAGGCGACGCATGATCCAACACTGAAGGAGCTGTAGGCAATAATGGCTCTTCTTGGTGTTCGTGTATCGCCTCTAAGGTAAGTTCTGTGGTGGCTGTAATTGTACGTGATTCATGTGGGCTGCTTGTAGTGATGGGCGTATCTCCGGTGATAGATTCGAAAAGCGCTACGAGGAGGTAAGAAAAGCATTACTACTAGAAATAATCGCGGTAACTTACTTATCCGTCTCCGCTTGGAACTTCTTTGCTCCGGCTCATCGTCTAGCGGAATATCATAAACGGAAGCGGGTGAAGGGATTTGGTTTCCAGAGCTCCTAGGAGCCTTGCTAATGGGTGTATTGCTCGTTCGCCTGGCCGAAAGCCGTCGCGACCCTGGGGTCGAAGGTCGAGAAAGTTTCTTATTCGGTGTTGAGGCCTTGGGTGGAGAGACCTGGGTTGGTTCTCGGTTAGGTGGTGAAAGCGACGACGCCTGTGCGGGCTGTTTCGGTAACACTTGAGGAGAGCCAAACGAAAAACCGAAATCGACGTCTTTGACTTTGCGATTCCTAGATAACAATTATATCAGTTTGTTTGAACCTATGTAAAAGATGAATGCGCCGCTTGTATGACAGGGGGAAAATACGCGGCTCCGCGCTGGCGCATCTGCTGGCGCTCCGCACGGTCTATGGCATAGATTAGCAGACCAGTTCAGGGTAAATAGCGGTTCAGAACATACTCGTAGCGACTGACATCTTGATCGTGGCGACGACACCTTTCTTGACGCGCCAAACGCGTGTTGTCGTGAAGCTTCCCTTGAGAACATGCATCAGAGGCGGAGAGCGGCAGCACTCTTGGCAAAACTCAATGGAGGAACTTCGATCAACATTTTGGCTGCAGGCTTCGATCCGGGGAGTGTGCAGCATTCTATGATGACACTTTTCTTTAATTTTGAACAAGGCATTGGGATGTTTGAGCTGCTATCTATCCCGAGATAGTATTGGAATCCTACGACTCTTACGCCTCGACGTCGCTTGTCGCAATGGGGTGGTTTTGGGGCAACTCGGACGATCCGACGAAGAATTTAGACCCAGGGCTACGGGAATACTTGGAGAAAGAGACTCCAGCAGCGTATGTGCCCAGTGCAGCAGTTCCACCTCCTAAGACCTCTCCATCCTCTTCGAACGATTCCTCCACAAATGAGACGCCTGAGCCGGCCGCTCCCTCCGCTTCCCTTTACCCTGACGGCAGATATGCTCATCTCTGGAAGACGTATCAACCTTTGGAACAATTAGAAGGACCAGATGTGTCTCCAGCTGAAAAAGTTGTCGATCAATTCAAGAAGAGAAAAGATGTTTTGAACCGAGCAGCCCTAGAAAATTGCGCAGAGGAACATATAACACTCACAAACTGTTTCAAGGAGGGTGATGCCCAGCAGAGAATGTGGTCTCGGATGACGATGTGCTCAAAACAAAACAAAGAGTTCTCGAGGTGTTATACGATGCAAGCTGTGAGACTAACAGAGCCTTGATTTGCTGGCTGGTTTTTGGGCGCTGTTAACTAATAAGTCTATAGAAATTTTTACAGGCACTCGGTTATGGTTAAGAATTTTGAATGGGAACGGGAAAAGGAAGAGAAGATACAAATGCATGCGGACAAGCTATATCACCAGATGCTAGACTATGAAGCTCGGGTGGAACAAGCAAAAGCTGCCGGTGTCGAGCCGCCTCCTATTAAGTCCTTGTTCAACCCGAACGCGGAGCCGATCCCATCGCAAGCGGAAGACGGTGTAAAGGGACCCAACGGGGCTGTTGTGATCCCTGGTGGGATCCAAGTACCGCTTGGTATGAAAACATCAAAGCCTCTAAAAGGATATGACCCCCCATGAGCGAGAACTGGAAGTCATGGCTCTCCAGCAACAAACCGTGCAGAGAGATCGATATATGAAAGAAGTTTCGCCGCTGGTGAAGGCCGATGCGGATGCTAAAGCGAGGCGACGTGCCAAGTTTACGGGCTGGTTCGGCGAAACCATCGGGAGTTGGCTGGCATGAAATGTGAGAATGTCTCTTAACGAACAACCCGACAAACACTCTCTCAATCGTGTTTTCGGCGGACTGCCGGCACCGATTACAGTTCAAATTGAAACCGGGTCGAAATCAAAACCGCTACCGCCGTTTCGGTAGGTATAAGTCTTATGGAACGATTATGCCAGTCATTTCCGGTTAGCAGCAAGGATGACAGAGCCGCTGAGGCCCCTTTTGGAGACGGGGTCAGAAATCCCTCCTAAACTTGTTAGTCGCGCAGCAAGTTCCACAGATGTTTCAGTGGATGATAAAATGAAATTTATCATGTATATGTCCTTGCATGTAATATAATACAAGAATGCTCCATGTTTAAGATCTACAATCTGCTGTATGCTTCATCCTGGGCCCCGATAAAGGATGCGAGGACAGAGGAGGAGGTATTATAGAATGCTCATTTTGATCCTGTGAAACTGCCATTAGAATCTTTCCATATCCGCATTGATTTTTATTCAGTCCAAGGGTAATGGTTTGCGCAGAAGACCTGGTGTTGATGTGTTGGTTTTGATTGCAACAGCCGATATGGACTAGCATTGTCTTGTTGACTTTCCACTCCCTCACAACCGCCTGGTCAACATCCTACCACAGCTTTCAACTTTATCAAGCCCATCTTCATTTTTCTGCTTTTGTGCGCCTATTTCTTTGAGATTCAATTCTTCACCATCTAGTTTCACTGCTTGTTTTGGTCAATTGACATTCGAATTCATTTCACAGAGCCGGATATGATCAGACCCATGGACTAACCCAATGCACGCCAGATAAAGCCGCTTGTCTTTGGATAAAGAGCCAGCTGCAAGAGAGTCCGGACCAGCATCTTTACCTAACATATCAATAACTATTCTTTCCCGGCCACTCTGGCCGGAGTCACTTAACCATTCACAATGAAGGCGACCCCTCTTCTTATCGCCTGGCATGACGATAATGCCCCGATCTACTCTGTTCATTTCGATCCAAACGGCAAGGGAAGGCTAGCTACAGCTGGAAAGTATGTCGTCCTCTTCTTGTTGATGATACTGCTATTAAGTGATGCTAATTGCTTTTAGTGATAATAATGTTCGCGTACGTTCCTCCCTTGACCTGCCTCCCTTTCTATCCAAGCGTCCTGCCTGACATGAAAATAGCTTTGGAGAGTCGAAGCTACTGGAGAAGAACGAAAGATTGCATATCTTAGCACACTAATAAAGCACACACAAGCCGTCAATGTCGTGCGCTTCAGCCCCAAAGGTTTGCTGAGCCGAACACTTGATCGAGATAATAGGAAGGCGCTAAAGATAACCTAGGTGAGATGCTGGCATCCGCTGGGGATGATGGAAATGTGCTTCTTTGGGTGCCGTCAGAGCTACAGACCCATGCAAGATTGGGCGAAGACCGATCCGACGATAAAGAAACGTGGCGAGTGAAGCACATGTGTAGATCCTCTGGCGCTGAAATCTACGACCTCGCCTGGTCCCCGGACGGCGTGTTTTTCATTACTGGCAGCATGGACAACGTTGCGCGAATTTATAATGCACAAACCGGTATGCTAATACCCGCCTACCTGTAGATTCCTGCTAATTTCTTTGCTAGGTCAAATGGTACGGCAAATCGCAGAGCATTCACACTACGTCCAAGGGGTCGCTTGGGATCCGCTAAACGAGTATGTTGCGACGCAATCTTCTGACCGTTCGGTTCATATTTACACCTTGAAAACCAAAGACGGCCAGTTTACCTTGACTTCGCATGGTAAATTCCAGAAAATGGACTTACCGGCGAGGCGAATATCATCGAATAGCCCTGCGCCACCAGAAATGGGGCTTCGAGGTCAATCAGCAACCAGCAATTCCGCCGCAGTATCTTCTCCGGGGCCCTCTGCTCCTGGAACTCCAATGACAGGCTTACTGCCGATGGACCCCCCTCCCGTATCACTTAGCCGTCGCTCTTCTTTTGGCTCCTCTCCTTCTATCCGGAGATCCGCCTCCCCTGCTCCATCGATGCCACTGCCAGCAGTCAAACCTCTTGATATGCCATCGCCGAGTTTCCTTGGTGGGCTTGGCGTGAGAAACGCGAGCCTCTATGCTAACGAAACATTCACTTCCTTCTTTCGGCGGTTAACATTTGCTCCTGACGGCAGTCTACTTTTTACACCTGCTGGTCAATATAAGCTTCCTACCCACGGTGATCCAATCAAGGCCACAGAAGATGTCATGAATACCGTTTACATATACACTCGGGCTGGCTTCAACAAACCGCCAATTGCCCACCTTCCGGGGCACAAGAAACCTTCTGTGGCTGTTCAATGCTCTCCGGTCTTCTACACCTTACGACAAGGCCTTAAGCCTACTCGACAAATCACACTTGACACTTCTGTCGATGATTCCTTTGCGTCGCTCCCTGACTCTATGATACTATCCAATCTACCGGGCCCTACTAGCACCTCGATGGAGCCTCCACCATTAACTACACCCACTTCGGCCACAAGCGATTCCTCACGCCCACTACCGT